GTCAATGGGAATCTGATCTGTTACAACCTGTTCCTACCAGTCATCTCCTATCATACCGTCCTGCCAGCCCGCACCCTGACACAGCACAGGCAAGTATAATCAGGGAAGCTCCAACATAACTGTGACCAGTTAGGCAGTGCGTAACACTAAAGAAGGCCTCTCAGTTCTTAAAGCTTCTTAATTAATTACTAAGCCGGTTAAATCGGTTAAAGCGCCTCCCTCCCGCTAGTAGAGAAGGCCTTCGCTACCTTTATAGCCCTAAACGAGATTATTACTAATATATAGGTTATGTAGAAATCAGGGTTATAAAAGAAATCTATATCTAGAGAATAGATCATTAGTGTATTTAATTTAATGGAGTTTTGGTTAAGCTATAAGTATTTGAAATTAGTAGGTTTGGTTGGGGTGGCCGGCTCGCTTGTGAAATATGTTATCAAACTAGCATAATCCGGATCGGGAGATAGCTTGCATGACTCGAGGGGTTATGAATAGCTGGATTTAGAATTTTCTCCTTTGCTTTATAGCACCCATGAGACAAACGATGGTGTTAGGATCTACTCGACCAAATTCTGATTTTTAAATGGATTGCATATCCTAAAGACCCACGCGCAGGCGAGCCCAAAAAACCGACCCTGGTGGGCAGCAAAGGCTAAAGTTGCAAAGGTCCCATCACCGGAATAGATAACTGGAGTTTCGTCAGAGGGTTCACTTTTTCCTAGCTCTGCTGCAAAAAATTTCCCAGATCCTGGCTGTAGAATGATTACCAACTTGGCCGGCGGCCTCGATGGAGTCAGAACCCACCAAGAGGATTGCAACGTGATTATTAGACGTGCAAATCCGAAATCAAATATAAATAGATGCAGTTGCCATCGTACTTCAATGCAACATGGAAGCAATACATTCGGATCCATCCATACATCGTGTGTTCAAGCCGTTGATCACCACCGATCGCCGGTGACAGGAAATAACCCATTCTTCTTCTTTTCGGCGTCCCACCGCTCCATCCATACTTTCATCTGATCCCGACTCTTCTGGCTGGCAACATTTACCGTCGGAATGACGCGCCCGATACGCAAAGCGCAACAGAACATGGTCAACTCGCGGAAAGAACTGTGTTCGCTGTAGGGCACACCAAAGCAGGCGCTTTCTCGCGTGCTGCCACGCTGCGGTGTGAGATCTTGACTGGTGTAAGGTGACTTCCAGTTTTCGCCGTGCAGCACAGTGGAGACCGGTGGGTTTTGTACCAGTCGCCCGGCTGGTGGGCGATAGGTCCAGCCGGTTGGGCGGAAACCGACGACTCGGGAGAAGTGTGGTTTGAGGCCGTCGAGGTAGTCTGCCAGTGTGTCGGCACGGATCTCGAAAAGAGTTTGCATATGTACTTGCGCTTCGTGGGGATTGTTGGTTAGCATCGCGGTGAGCTCCGGGTCTTCTAAGCAGGCGCATATCCGTTGCTTCGGTGGAGTCGCGAAAATCTTGGATCCAAGTGCTCGGGCGATTCCCATGCATATCCGTTCTTTGCCAATACTGTAAGTGCCAATGACTACGAGTAGTCGCCCTCCAGCCTGCGAGCCTTTATCCAGGGCTTTGTTGATCCCTGTGGCGACAGAAAGAAATTTGCCCATCAAACCACCCGTGTCATTCTTCCCCGCATCAAGTCCTACACCAGTTTCATGATTCAAGCGCACACATAGCTCTGAGCACGCTGTAATCACATCCTCCTGAGCGGGAAAGCCATATTTCGGGCTGAGGTATGTGGTGTCGAGGTAACATTTGTCGATATGTTGCTGTCTCGGCTTACCGGTTACTGGGATGATCACATCGGGACGTAAAAGTGGATGTTGCACTTGAGCGGGAGATGCACGGAAGTCACCACAATGCAGCACCCGCTGTTTACTGGCATTAGGGCTATTCCCATAACTCTTTTCGAAAAGAAAAAGTGAGCTGCCGGGGCAATGATTTGCGTGTATCATGGTGACCCGCACTCCTCCCGTCTCCGGTACTTCAGTGGTAGATTCAAACTCGAGGTCAACTACCCACTTGGGATCAACGCGGAGCTGCTGGCGGACAAGATTGGCAGTCGGTCGACTGCAGTAAATAGGCCCATGGCACCAGGACTTGCTGAGCCCTATGTAGTGATCGCTGTGAAAGTGACTGAGAAAGTAGGCGTTACACCCCTCGACAGCCCCGTATCGGAAGGCATCGACGCATATGGAAAACCCCGGAAGAATTTTGTAAAATGGACAAGTCCGTTGGTAGGCTTGTTTGCCGCGAGAAGACAGCTCGTTTGCCGCTGCGGTAGCCCAAGCAGTGTCTTCTGCATTTCCAGCCATCATCTTGGAGAATGCGGAACCTTCAATGGGTCTGCTATGCGAGTAGGGATCAACTTGCGCAGGCCGGGCAATAGCAGCTCGCTCCGCACGGGTCAGCCCTTTGTCGATGTTGGCAGGCTTTGGAGTCGGCTTCAGCATGGCCTTAGGAGCGGGCGTGGCTGGAGAAGGGTTCGATTTGCCATCAAGGCATTCATTTACATGCACTGAAATTGCCTATGCCGGGAATCAGCATTTCATTGGGCCCAGAAGGCAGATAAGGGGACTTACCGTTTCATCAAGATCCTTTAGCATCACTTGGCAAATAGGACATGTGCTCACTTCACCCTCGAGACCTTCTACACCAGAAGAGTCGTTTGAGTCCTTGTCAGGATCTACCTCAAGGTCGACTTGCTGCTCTTGTTCCTCACCCTCCCAAGGCCGATTTCGAAACTCTTCCCCTACAAACTCATCTTCCTCTTCTATATCGTCAAAATTCGTGGATTCATTATCATCGGCATTCGTGGCGGCTCTTACCAGTGGCAGGGGTGTAGGTTCGAAAGTGCGTTCTGTGGCCACTATTTTGTCCCTTTGCAATGTGTCGTTCGTCACATCCTTGGCGACAGGAGTCGTTTCATGAAGCTCTCGATATGCTTCCATATCATTCTCGCTATCGGACTCATCGATGAATGGTCCGCTCATTTTCTTGGTCTTTGCGGGCGCTGGTGCAGGTGTGGGTGCTTTTGTAGTCTTCGATTCGGCGTCAGGTTGTCGCGTTTCGTCGGCCGGGCTGTCCAGTGAGTCGAGCTTCCGACGCTTGACCGCTGTGTCTCTCTCATTATATCGATTGGGATCCGATTTCAAAAACTCCTCATCGTCCCCCCAAATATCAGGCGTGAGTGAACGCTCTCTTTCGCTCGTCGCCGCTGCTCGTTCAACATTTGCCAGTCCCTTTTTATCCTCCAAAAATAGCCCACCAGCATGATCATATCTTGAATTATCCCCTCGTTGAGAAGTTGGAGTGCCCCGGCCGCTGCTCGGTGAACGCGAGGTCACCGTTGCAAATTGAGTGATCCGCGCCTGGCGAGAAGTGGCGCCCGGTGGCGTGTCGGTCTTCTGGAAGAAACTCAAGATACTCGAATTGCGCTTAATTGAGGATTTTCTTGACCCTGAAGATCCCTTGGATGACGTGGTGCCATTCTTCGGGTAAGAACCGGCCATTGTGCCTCGGTCGCGGAAGGGTGGGAGTTGCACCGTGCGCAAAAATCGAGCCGCGGCGAGGGTGAAGAGAGTCTGTAGCTATTTCAAGGTGATTTTAGGTTGGTTAAAACACAAACAGAATGGTTGAATATACGATGTGTTTATTTGTGCACGGTCGCCAGTGACATTGTCCAGGATTTTGTCGGGTCGAGAGGCGCGAAGAAACCGGATCGCGACACGAAGTCACGTGCCCAATTTGATCGGCTCTAGCATGGATGGCTGCAATGGATTCTAGCATGTTTAGAGCATTGCGATATAGTCACAGGGCAAAAAAAAGGAGCTATTCATTGTTGCGAAAAAATGTCTAACGAGGTATCATGAACAACGCAGCCCTGGTGCCAGCATGAGCTATAGGTGAATAATCTCCTACGGAATTGCTCTTGCGGCGTATCAGCAAGATTCATGAGCGGCTATCCAAGGTCCATATGATATCTTGGGCGCACTCAAGCCGTGTGGGACTTTCGAACATTTCGATGTATGAACCCGTCACCCCGGCAGTCTGTTGGGTCATCTCAATTTTGGGTGCTGAAACCCCATATTTTTGGCCATAGATTCATTTTCTTAGCTGGAGACTACCTGGTGGTAACAACGATGATGAAGAGCGCGATGCGTGATTTGTCGTAAAATTGAGGCCATGATCGTTTACCGAGCTTTGCCAGCCTGGTTGGCAGCCTCTGTATGATGATTGGATTAGTCTTGATTCAAATGGCAGTTCCGGTCGCAGCTTGTGTAGATGCTTGGAAAAAGGCGAGAGCATGAAATGGTCTCAACAGCTCAGTTCGGGGAACGAAGCGCAACTCACCTCGCCGTGTGGCATCCTCCAATAACCCCACGTCAACCTCCGACCGAGGCAACATCACATACCGCACCACACTTCCTCGGATGAACATGTTCTTCACAGAAGACAGGTGAGGGTACTTGGCCAGGTCCAACACTTCGATATCATCCAGCTTGATATTTAGGTATTGGTCAACCGATTTCAGAATTCCACGAATGCGGATGTCATTTTTGAGTTCAATGGTGACAGTCTGGTTGGTCAGAGTCTTGAAAAAGCTGTAATGAATTGTGTATTAGTTTTCATCCATGTGGTTTGAGTCGGCGCCTCGCGTCATAGCATACCTGAAGAAAAGCATGGTCGCGGTGGATAGGAAAGCTTGGAGGGGTGCTTGGATGAAGAGAGGTGCGCTGGACTAGAGCGGTGATATGTATTTTGCTTATTTCGGACGACGTTGCAGATTGGATTCGAAAGCTTGAATCAATAAGTAACATAAGAATTAGAAACAAGAATGCCGATAGCGCTTGAGAGTTGGCAAGGCGAGATGCAAAAGAGAAGCCGTCGGAGTCGGTCACGTGCATATCCCTATAAAGCGGCCGATGACTTCCAAGAACTTAACCAACGCTCCATCATTTTTGTTCTTGGATTATCAAAACTCTTAGAGGCATATTTGAGATCAGCCAGCACACATCCTCTTGAAATATATGGTTCTATAACGTCTGCCCTTTCTCACCATTTCTCAATTCTCACACAGCAGACTACTACTCACCTATTTCCGCAACATAAGCTGCGAAACACGTTTTGGCCTATTCCCTATTTTAACAAGTCTCAAGCCCTCTCACACATTTCAGCAACTATGTTCCCTGACTGGATATTTTGCATAAAGAAAACTGGCCGAACGTGTCTGAACACACGAACAGGAGCATGGCCTACCCATCGATGCCTGTCGCTACTTATCAACAGTCCGTATTAATAGCCCAACATAATGAATCGTTTCAGACGTGACAAATGGGCAATTTCACGTCTCATCTTCTATCTAGCAGGTAGCTGTGGCGCTACGTACTGTCCTATGATTGGTCTAGACAAGGTGAGTATACACCCTGAAAAGTCTCCACTAAGAAAACAATTCCAAATTTATCAGCTCAATCTGCCTGTGCCAAGTATGCGGCATTACAAAAATGGTACTGTAGTGATGAACGATAGAAGCTGAAAGTCATTCACAACCCCAGTCCGGCGAGCTCAGGAGCTCGGCTACCGAAGCTCGAGAGGAAATACTCCGAGCTTACATGGTTCCCAGATCTCAAGAGCTTAGTCCTCGTCGGCGTTTCTACTGCCATGGTATGAAGGACACCTCGACCGTCGAGGGAAATGAATTTGTAATAGCTCAATCCACTCGAAGACCACTTCGAACAGCCACTACTTGACCTCCCACCGCTTAATCCATCATTCCTTACACCACCATAGGTCAGCAGCAAAAGGATACCTTGGCTACTATGGTTGGAAAGACGGTACAGCCGGCCATTCCTGGTAACAAAAGCCCTTTTGCACTGGGTTGGCGTGTCGTCGCCTCCTGCGCAGAGAAACAATCTGGCATGCTTTCGAATTTCGCATTGCCAGCTAGGACTGGGATCCAATGGAGATGAGACATCCCACCACGTAAGACCTGACTCTCGGTCCCCCGCTGCTTCAGCTTGACTCGTTCGCCATCAGAGAGCCATGTTAAAATTCCCATTCTAGGAGGGGCCTCTTAGGCTACGCCTCTACCCTATGCGTGGTACCTTTTCTCACTTCGCCTACGCTTGTCAGTCATCATCTAGCTTCGCCCTTGGCCCTAGCCATGAGAGGTTGACTATGCTTACCTACAGTCCTAATTTATTCCTCGCCTGTATTTCTTGTTATATAGCCGAGAGGTCTAGTATCTCTAATCGAACAGTAAGAAGGTGTTAGGAGAGATCTACGTCAGGGTGCCTGGTCAATGTGAGATTGATATGGAAAGTTGAAGAAGCCAAGTTCAAGACTGTGGATTTGCTTTGAAGACGTTCCTAGACTCGACATTGGGGAAGGGAAGTCCAAGCGGCGAATCTCGAAGGAAACGTAACTGAATACACTTTAGTGAATGGTGCCGCGCGAATGGAGTTCTTGAGTGACTGTAAAACACTTGGGATTTGGGTACAATGAGTCAATTGAATTCTGGCCTTCGCTGTGAAACTCCATGATGATGTAGGGAGTTTAGGCACACTGGAAATATTTTATTTGTACTTATATTCAAGATGTCCTACAAGTCCGGGTGCAGAAGCTTCCATGCGACAAATTGTAGCTGCTGAAAGGTCGATTGTGCGAAGGTTCTTCAGCAGAGTCTCCTTAGCCTTAGATGATTAAGAAGCTCTTGGATGATACAAGTTTCTCATGTGAGAATCAATGTCTCAAGTCCTGCCTTTGTCTCTAGTTAAATGTATCGCTATGTCGTTTGAGATAGAAATATCTTCAGTGCGGTTGATGCTTTTAATGGCCGTGTGTTAAACATAGTTCAGTTTACTCTGTACTATTCTTCCTATTTCTAGCGGCATCACGATTGTTTGTGGTTATTATTCTAGCTATAATAGCAAGAGTTAATGCTATCTACATGCGTACATTCAAAAGGACATCGGAGTGTTATCTCAGGTAGATTGTCTCTTAAATCATCTTGAGAGAGATAAATCAGATTTCTCTTAGACTGACAGGTGGGATTTTTTACATCTCCATCCCCCTCTTCGAGAATTTAACCAAGTATTGAATGATCTTAATCCCTGTAAAATCACTTCCAGTTTTGAATGGTGACCTAAGCTATCTATTAATTCATCATATATTGAGCCCATACACAAAGCATGATTTTGATAGTGTCAGATGTATTGCAATGGCGTAAAGACTTTAAAGATATTTCTGAGTGGATTCTGTTACATGAATTCTTTAAAATAGGAGACAAACCGTCGGAATTGTCATTAAAATAAGATCTAACTGGGACATTTGCAGAGTTATTGCTCTCTGCACGTGTCATGATGTTGGGCTCCCATGGCGTTGAATGGTGACTTCTAAACCCCTACAGTAGCTCCAACTTCTGAAAGACATACTCCGGCAAGAGGGAAAATTGAACAACAGTGGCTTGTAGCATTATGAGCAAGACTATTTGATTTATATGCGTTGAACTGGACCTGGGACTCTATGCGCCTTTAGGGTCACATCCGTGTGAACAATGAGTGGAATGTATGTGTCAATAGGACATGATACGAGAGGGGTAAAGTGTGACAGTGAGGGAAATTAGCATATAATTTCTATTGTTATACCTTGCTAAGAGACCTTGTACTTCTCTAGCGTGCAATAGTAGAGTAGAGGGGAATTTGTAGCGTGATGGACTTGGCAACCAGGTCCCCTCATTGGCTCTCGTTCTTTTTTCCCCTTCTCTGCCCAACGACTGCCACTTCACCTTACCGACTTTTGTATCATCTGAGATTAATTATGTTGAGGTCCTGCCTGTTCTGGTGCCGGAAAGGTGCGTGATTGACGTTCCATCTACCTCCGACGGTCACTAATTTGGCTAAAGATAGTAGCCCGGCGCCTACGCTCGACCAATAATCAGCCTCTTCACACTGCATCTCACTCTGGTCCCACCCCTAGGTGGTTCATCACGCTATCCAGGAACCTCCTTCGTCCCTTTTTTCGCTTTTTTGGTCCTCGTTGACTCGACTCTTACTCCAAAATTGGTGTTGGCTCTTTACTCACGGGCGACCCCCCCTGTCCAGCGCGAAGCGCCCATTTTCCTTGCCACCAATAATATCATTGTCCGCTACCCTCCAAAATCAGGTTTATTGGATGTATTGTGCCCAATCTTGCAGTAGTCTCTGTAACAGGGTAACTCTTTCTGAAGAGGGATCGGCTGGTCACAGCACATACCCCGTGGCTGGTGGAAAGCGCCCAATTGACTATAAACCCTTCCCAACTGCCACAAACTCTGTGAAGGCTAGCGTTCTTCATCTAGTCGACTTCATTGTCTCATGCCCGGTGCTTAGAGCTCTGGTAGCTTTTGCCTTTTTTTTTTTCTTCTTGTTATCTGGTCAACTTGCTTTACATCGTTCACTTCGCAGACCCGTTGATCGGTGTCACCATTTCCTAAGAGCCAAATACCCATAGATAATCTCCCGTGAGCAACTCACGAAGAACCTACATCAGGCAGTTTGATCAAATGTTCGAGATGACCGACACACTCCGCATCTCGACTGTGCGATTCCCGCCCCTTCGGCAGGCCCGGGGGACGGTACTTAATACTATAATGGAGGATACGCGCGAGTCTAATTTCGCTCAAACAAGTCTAGAAGACTCAGCTCCTTCCATACTTATACCGGCAGTCATCAGTCCTAAGTTGAGGTTGCAGACTAGCGGGTTCGCAATACCAACACACGCTCGGCTCGCCCGTCTAATGTCGCCTCTCTCGGCTGGAACCACCTCATCATGTTCGGATACAGAATGGCAGTCTCAGATGCAAGGATTTCGAGGATATGACGACTTATATGATGCCTCAGGTGATGATAGTGACGACAATGAGACCGAAATTAGCGATTCATGTTTTTCCCCGGATACACGGCCATCGAGCTTGATAACACCAGTCACCCGAAACTCGGTGACCTCAACTGGCAGTCAAAAGCACCCTCTGATACTTGAGATTCCCTCGTCTAAGTTTTGGCCGTCAATTAACGGCTCTCTCAAGGGCTCTCCAGTCCCGCCGACGCCTCCGTCCAAGATTCCAGTCTCGCCAGCAGCGTTGTCGATGCTCAGCCGTTCTGTGCCCGCATCATACGCCCCGCCTTCACTTGATGGTAGCATGACTTCGGACCAAGAATCAATCATCAGTGCATTGGCTACACCAGACTCCCAATCTCTGCCAGAAACCCACTGGGACGCACATGATGATATACGTGTCCGCCGGGATCTGGACGGAATTGAAAGCGGCCTAGAAAATGCGGATGGTAGTTCAGATCTTGAAACTGTACCCATTGCTATTGAAGACCCGCACGACGACTGGCGTCATGTTCTGGGAAGTTTCCCCCGGATTCCTACCGCTGCCCATGCATATTCACCTCCGCTCCCGCCGTCACTGTCGCCATCCTTTCATCTAAATGATGAGCCAATTCACAATTGTGATGACATTTACGACGCCCCACAGCCTATTCACCAACGGGACTTTCTGCCTAACTCGGCGATGGCAACACTACACCACATTCATTTAGATGAGACAATTGACTCGTGGTCCGAGACCTCGGAGGATAAAGGTGAGATGTGGCAACTCCAGCAGCCTTTGAAACGCCCGAGAAGTGCCGACGGGGTCACCCCTGCATCTGAGCTGTCTGGATACAGTTTCAGTGACTTGAGCATTCCATCTCCTGGTGGTTTTTTTGCTTCTTTGGCGCCTCGGGCGCGCCACACATGGTCAATCCCTAACACCAATTACCCGCCATCTTCGGCGGCTGCAGAGCGGTTCTACAATCTCCCTTGGCGTCAGGATGAAGGAGAGATTGTTGAGCAGATAGTTGAATGGCCCAGGCGCCCTGTTGACGAAGACCCAGTCACAGCGGTTCGAGATGAAGAGGCCCCGCTTACTGCCGTTCGACTCCCCTGTGACACACCAACTCGTCGGTCAATCTACCAAGATAGCCCCATGAGTGCTGCATTTGATGCAGTTCAAGTCCAAGAGATTCCCCGTTCTGCGAACGGATATGAGTACGACGAGTGCTATGATCAAGAGCTGCAGGAACGTGCAGTTGCGAACCACGACCGGACAAGTATCTGGCTGTCTGCCCAAGCATCCTACCTCTCCGCTCTCAATGAAACAAATCCAGTGAATGGCATCAAGCCTGTTGAACCATCCGAGAAGTCGGATGATGTCGAGGCTGAGGCCGAAGACACCACAGAAGATTCTTCCAAGAAGATGGTACGGTTCTCTGAAGGCGTCCCTGAGTCCCTCGGTCCTCTGCCCCCGGTTATGGCTAGTAAGGATTCAATTTATTGGCAGGGCTTCCGATCCATTCGGGAACGGTCAACCAAGACAGATGGGTTCATGCACCGCAATATGCGTTTTGATGCCGTGCAATCCATGCGCCTCGCCATGAACGACTTGCACATTAACTGCTTGCTGGGTAAGTTTGAGCTTGTTCGCCCCGAACGCCCTGCGTACAAGGGTCCTTTTGCCAAAGCACCCCGCAACTCGATGATAACCTCCGAGCTAGCCGAGAAGGCGCAATTTGACAAGGTGGAGAAAGAGCAGCTGGTTCTTGCTCAGCTATCTCAGCCCATGTGGGCCATGGATGCCCTCCGGTCCCTCAACGGCGGTAATCTGCTAGCAAGTCCTGCCCAGCGGGTGCTTGCACAAACATCATCAAAGCGCAGGATCTCGCAAGGGCCACGCAAGCGCAGTTTCCGCATCCTAGACCTGGGGGGTCACTCCTCCTGCGACTGGGCGTGGCAAGCCGCTCACGAGTTCCCAAATGTTAAGGTTTACACCGTCGCCTCCAAGAACCAGGCTGTGAACAGCGCTATTAAGGGCCCTCCCAACCACCGCCAGGTGACCGTGGCCAACCTCTGGGAGCTGCCCTTTGGCAACAACCAGTTCGACCTTATCTCCGCCCGCTCCATGCATGCACTGCTGAAGATCAAATGTCCTGCCGGTAAGGACCGCGACGAGTACGACCTCGTTCTCAAGGAATGCATGCGATGCCTCAGGCCAGGCGGTTACCTCGAGTTCCAACTTCTTGACGCCGAGATCTCGCGGGCGGGGCCACACGCTAGCGCAACGTCAGTGGAGTTTGCTTTCAACCTGCGCAACCGCGGGTACGACCCACTAGCAACGAAGAGCTTCGTCGGCCGTCTTCGCAGCACAGGATTTGTCAACACGCAGCGCGCGTGGATGTTCCTCCCTATGGGCACCGAGCCCGTTGAGCAGGAGCCCCTGCGCGAGACTCCTGCACCGCGTGTGCAGAGCCAAATTGAAAATTGCGAGGCGGTGCAGGGACCGATTGGTAGCACGGCGGACATTGCCAGCATGACTGGACTGATTGGGGGGTGGATGTGGGAGCAGTGGTTACTGAAATTGCGAGTGGAAATGGGTCGCGATCGATCCTTGTTGCTTGAGGGTCTTGGTGCGCTGTTTAATGAGGGGAGGAAGAGTGGTGCTGGCTGGACCTGCCTCTCTGGATGGGCGATGAAGCCGAAGCGGAAGAGTTCTGTCTCTTTGGCCAAGGTTGGATCTATGTAGAGCCATCAGTCTATCTTTATAAATCTAACCTTGGCCCTTGTGGCTCGCAATTAATGTAATCAATGCCTTGTGTCTGGGATATTTTGAGTCGACCGAATGCAAATAGAAACTGTACCTTGTAGCGTTTAAAAACGCAAGGTTCCTTCGATCAACCATACCCAACCTCTTACTAAAGAAACTACCTCCAGGGCTACATCGCTGACACGCTCTTAGTAGCAGAAAGCCTTTTACGACTTCAGTCAGTCTTTTAAGGCGTCATTTCCCCTCCTTGTGTATTTCAACTGCATGCAATGCAGTTAGAATATGATTCAAAGTAGATCGCCGAAAAGCATCCAACAAGGCTGGAGACGGGCCGTTGCAACTGAAAGCCGGACACAGCGGCGACTCCCGCATCTGAACTGGAACGAAGACGTGGAATGTATGTCGAGTCAAGATGAGACGGCGGTCATTTCAAAAGCCCTGAATGCGTTTGAGGGATCTTCATCGAGACATTTAAAGGACTTTTGATCTAACCTGCGGATTGAAATTCGGGTTGATAGCACATTAGATTGCACGGCGCATCTCCTTCACAGCGATCGACTCCATTATGGCTCTCTTTCCTGTCATGAAAACAACCAGCCGTAACTAAATGATGGTCCAAGCCTACCACGAAAAGATTAGCACAAAAAGTTCGAAGCGCATACAGAAGTGTCGGTGATACTCCGGAGCAGTGTGCCCCGCTAGCAGCACAGACAATGGCCCACTATTCCAAAGCACAACATGTATCTTTGGGCTGCGAAGCGGTCATTTAATAGCTTTTGAGATAGCTTGTTGCACTGGGAGCATTTGTAACCGATTATCGAGGTAGAACGTGGTGTAAGATGATCAGCCAAGGGGAGATTGTGCAGTCAGATGATTAAGCCACGAGCAGGATATACAACATAGATAACGTGGTGCAACCAGTCTCCCAAGTCAAAATATCAGAAATAGATATCGATCTAAGACTGCTAAACCGTCACTGAGACTGATGATTCCAATAGTGGAAGGTTGAAAAGCAAATCCGTGCAGTGAACCCATTCCTGACTGATCACTTTGGCAGCTTCGATGCAGATTCCAACCGATGTCTATTTGAAACTGGATCGGATAATCCAAGTCACCGACTGTCTAACAAGGTCAGCAGACTGAAGATAGGTTTGTTTCTCTCCCCGGCCTGACTAGGTTGTCCAGAATGCATGAAGGATGCCATTTTTGCCCAGCTGTCAGACATCTTGAGTGAACAACTAAAAGCCTGACACGTGAGAGCCAGAGTCCTTGCCAGCAGATCAAAGTGTTCTGGAGAGAAGAATAAAACGATGAAAAGAGTACGGAGGACGGAGTAGATAGTGTATTTCTGGATTTACGGTGAACCGGGGCATATCCACTCTTCGCCACTGATGTAAACAGGCCCGAGGAGCTTCAGATCTTTATTTTTTTTTTTTTCTTTTATAACCCCTCTCCTCCGGATTCTCCGCAATTCCCCCCCCCCTCTCTTCCCTCCCATACACATCATGGCACCTCCAGCTATCATAGCCCCCTCCATTCTCAGCGCCAACTTCGCCAATTTAGGCCATGACTGCTCCCAAAAGATGGAGCAGGGCGCCGACTGGCTGCACGTTGACATTATGGACGGTCATTTTGTCCCGAATATGACCATCGGCTGCCCCGTTGTCTCTCAAATCCGTGGCTGCGTAGACCGTCCCTCCGAACCCTGCGGTCGTGGCACTTTCGATTGTCACATGATGATAATGGAGGTGAGGCAATAGACTTCCCCATACCCGCGTCATCCCGGAACGTCATGAGCTTTCCCCGCTGACTGCATTTCGCTTCGTTACAGCCGCATAAATGGGTCGGAGAGTTTAAGAAGGCGGGTTGCGATCTCTACTGCTTCCACTATGAGGCTGCTGTTTCCTCTGTCGCCGCGACCGATCCCACCGATAAAGAAACGACCGCTCGTACTAGCCCCAAGCAATTGATTCGCTATATCCACGAGGAGGGTATGCAGGCTGGTATCGCCATTAAGCCCGATACCCCCGTCGATGTGCTCTGGGATATTATTGAAAGCGAGGACCCGGCCGAACGACCAGATGTGAGTGATTGATTTTTTTGTTTCAGATCCTTTTATGGCTAGACTTCCATCTTTGACACCTACACACCCGTTCGTTTTCAATTGCAATGGTACTCATTGTATTTCCGCAGATGGTACTGGTCATGACCGTCCACCCCGGTTTCGGAGGTCAGAAATTCATGGCCTCCGAGCTCCCCAAGGTCGCCGCTCTGCGCAAACGCTACCCCAATCTGAATATTGAAGTCGACGGTGGTCTCGGTCTGGGTACAATTGAACAGGCTGCCGATGCAGGCGCCAACGTGATCGTTGCGGGCTCAGCGGTCTTCGGCGCACAAGACCCCGCCGACGTCATCGCGAAGCTGCGCGAGGCTGTCCAGAAACGTCGAGGCGCGGAGCTGTAAAGAGGAAACGGGTTCAGAGCAGAGCACAAAATGGGGGTTGGGTGTTTTTGACCTTATTTGAGGGTGGGTCTCTTTTTAAAAAAAATTATATTATACATTCTTAATCACGAGTTATGAATGGCATCTACCTGTGGAAGTCAACTGTCCAAGCTTTCGAAATTATCTAAATTTCCATACTGAATGTATGAAAAAATCGATTGTAAAAACTTGCCAGGCATTCTTGATGTACAGATGTCATAATCATCGAATTCGTGAACAGCAACTTCCCCAGTTCTGGACGAAAGTAGTACCCCTACCCTGCCGACTAATTTGGGGGAACCAACTCTGCCTTGGTATCATCCTTCGCATATCCTGTGTTCTTAGCACCAATAGTGGCCTATTTCCTAGGCTCTAGCCCGAACCCTCGCGGCACCATAGGCCTCGCAAGCATTTCAGCGATAGCATTGCCCATAGGCTCGTTGGGTTCCAGAAGCTCTTCCTTTTTCTTCACGACCACACGGGTAATCATCGGACTCGGCGCCTCCTTCATCAGCTCAAACTTCGCCCTCTCCGTAGCCTCTTTGCGCAGAGCATCAATATTGCTCATAGGCTCCGCAAAGATAGATTTTCTGATCTCATGCACCACCTTCTTTTGATCCGCATTATCGAGCGTCGACACCTTGGATCCGCGGTGATGTCCAACCAACCCGAGTACCTCGGCATTATCTGCGTGGAAGTTTGCCGATGATACGGCCGCTTGTTCGGGAACTAGGGTCGGGCGTTTCGTGGACTTGGATGAATCCGAAGGGGTCTCGGGCAATTCGGGGGCCACTGAGCCACGGTGCGCATGGCTGGCGATGGGTACCTCTGTAGTCTGTTCCTTGAGCTCTTTCTTATCTTCTATCTTGGCCTTCGCCTTAGATGCAGCCTCCGAGCTAGCCTGGCGCAGAGCTACCACCGCTGTGTCATCCTTCTTGTCTTCGGGCTTGGTAACGGGAGGGGTTTGGATATTGAACGTGGGGGGATTGGGGGTGGCAGGTGTCGGGTCGACTTTGATCTCGGTTGCTGGGGTAGGGTAGCTGGTGGCGGGCATCCCCCCCAGGTCCTGCACGCTATTTACTACCATACGTAATTCGCCGAATTCGTTCCATTCTTCGATCTCTTCTAGATCCTACAAGTCGTGAGGTTAGCTCTGCGATCCTAATAGAAGAGAACCGCGATGGATTCTGGCCTCTTAGCAAGGGGGCTGTCACATACTCCCACAAGGTCGCCATACTTCACCAACCCTGGGAGCTTCTTGCCCTTGGAGCGTCGGCCCCAGAGCTTCCGGGCAGCTTCGTCGGTAGCGACATCAATGGCGCGGAAGGGTATCTTATTCGCTTTGAGGATAGTCTCAATTCGGGAGGTCGCAGTGACGATGTGTGATGACCCCGCGGTCAGGGAAGTGTAGAGGTAAAGGGTTGAGTCAGTCATGATAGAGGTGAGGTGTTGTTAAGAAGTGGAATTGGTGGGGAGTTGAGGATGAGGGAAATGGTCTGTCTTTGAGGAAGTTTCAATTCATTCAGGGGTTAGTCCCATCTGTGGTCTTTGATTGAGCATCTATAGTTAGGAGAAAAATAAATTATTTTTCCCCCTAGGGGATTTAAAATGACGTGGCTTGGTGGATATCACGTGCATGTGATTGCTTTCGATCTTGCTGCAAGATTCTCCCCTTTTTATATAGCATCGTTATGTCCTTGTCCTATTCTTGGTCTATGATATGTACTATTTCCGCTCGTTCAAGGCCAATATCTCCACAGCACAACCCGTTCCATGTGTCTCACGGCTCCATGCCCTGGAAAACAGGTCCAGTGTGGCAACTTGACGTCAGATTGGGAGCTGCAAAACATCCTGGAATCTTCTGGAGAGGCTCAGGGCGAAACGAGGTCTACTAATGTAGGTATAATGTATAATGATGTCCTCAAAGACATGCGCCACGCATAGCTCTAACCGTCACATATCAACGATCAAGCATCACGATCTGGGCCAATTTCTGAGTATATAACCAGCATGGCTACATACTGTGTATAGGCACCGATGAAGAGTTGGGTAATTCGTAGGCTTTGGTTACATCAACTAGAAAAAATCTTTAGGCACTTCTGGCATTTGGGACAATTTCACTTTTCCCAGTACATTTGAACGGGTTCCCGAGTTCCTTATAGATCCATCGCAATCTAAAAATGGGAGTACTAATAATAACCATTTGGACTTGCGAGTGATTTTAACAGAATGCACGTGGACAATAAAATGGCAAAAAGAATATGTTCACTGCTTGAGAGTACCCAACTGCCCCAAAAAATTGTATCTCGTGAGCACAGTTAGAGGCACACATTAGATGTCTTACGCGGCTGCAGTCGATCCTTGTGCTGACCGGAAAAGAAGAGACATCAAATCAGCACCAGGAGTCACTGTGTTATAGCAGAATTAAATATGTCCACGGTTCGATGGCGAAATGTTTGAAAAGCTTCAACGGACGCGTCTACGACTGCGACCTACATGGCCAAGAAAGCCAACCTGCCGACTCAGATATCCCGCCTGCTTGGAAACTGAGCTGTGGAACTTCCATGGCATCCTGATCTGTGATGACATGCGTTTTCCCCGAGTCATGGAACTCTGCACCTTAACTAATCTGGCGTCTGGGATCTCTATTGCCATTGGAGCCAGCTCACTTCCTCTATTGCTAGTCGTCAAATTGGCTTAGCTGTACCGTGTCACGCGACCAGCATAGGGGAGCGAGCTGTACCTGCATGTGTTTAAATCACGGGAAGGGATGGCATGTGGGTGTGAGGTACTGCGGAAGTAGACGAACTGGAAAAGTGTTAGCTTGGAAGACACAGGTTCTTGGGCCCTTTAACTGGAGTCCAATATACCTGTGAGACCGAGGAGTTTATATCGTCAGCTGAGGCCTAGACACAAGGAGCACACGCAGTACTTATATCCAGTCAATATAGGTTTCTCATTTAAGTGCAATGCATTGCATGATTTCTCCTCGTGCACATACATACCCTAGGAGTCCATAGCCTATCACCCACGATGTCTCAAATGTGGCGCATCTTAGAGGGTTGGAGGGTTGCGAGTCTCCCATGTGCACTATTTTACCCAAGACAGCCTCTCACCACAGGCACTGACCCAGAAGCCCAGAGAATTAATGCAGGGGCAATCTTGTCAACATCTGAGCCACGTAACTCTTGCAGAATTCAATGAGCTCTTGACATGGATGGCGCACTGGATCGACAGGCAGGGACTTCGTGTTCTGTCTCTTCATTTACCTGTTGAAATGATCAAGTCCATCAAAAGCAGACCTGGGGACAAGGATTCAAGTTGACGATGAGAGCGGAATTCGTGCCGAATGTTGGGAGGACTTCTACGCCACCTTGCGGGCGATATGCTATGAAACCAAAATCTGCCCGTTCGACGATAGTTTTCCCGCTTGTCTCGGCACCGGCAACTCAACACATCATATACATTGAGATAGACAACGACAAAGTACAGAGTACAGTGAAGGATTTCCCTGTTAGGTACAAGAATGCCTTTTCGTCAACGTCTACTCCTTGGTTGCCCCGTACTCCGTACTGCGCGGGGAGCATGCACCCACGTTGTGTTCTCTCATGAAAACCTATCCTGAAACAGAGACAGATGTGATAGATCACCCTAACTTGTAACGTAAGTTGAGGTTTGAAGTCAATCGTACTTTGTCCCTTTTTTCCGAGGTTGCCGCACAGTCTAAGGAATCTAGTGTCGCCAACGCTCAGGATCACCAAATGGAGCCACAACTGGGCAACAATTATCCGATCAGGAGACTGATCCACCCAAGACCGTGGAATCCCCACACTAGGAGCATGTTGTGTAGCAGTAAACCTGTTAATCACAAATGGTCTCCGTACAGCCCCCGTGTGGATGATGATCACTAGTGTTGTAAACGTTCCGGAGTCAATAGATTTATTGGGAACTTCGAGCCGAAAGTAACTTCTGCCCCCGGAACCCCAAACAAGAGCAACCTGTTTAACAAGGGCCATCCCTGACCAGCCACAAGTATAAAAGGGGAACCGTGGGACTGTGGCGGGAGTGATCCACGGTAACACGTGAATCAAACCGTTCTTGTACCACTCGATTTCCACGCGATTTCAAGGCGACCTCATTAAAGAGGATGCTAATATTGTTTGCCATTCAACTCTAGTCGGGCATTGGGCGCTGAAACTGCGATCCAAACAGCCTCTGCAGAATGCCCAAGCTGCCACATCAGACGACGTGGCAGTCCCTCGACGCGCCGGAGCGATCTTGGTCCGACCGCGCAAAGTAAATGGATCCTTAGGAGGGGGTCTGGGGGTCTGGGGATTTAGCTGTGCTAGACGGAAAAATGGGCTGTTTTGCGATTTCTTTCGACTCCCGCTGTAGGCGCTCGCTACGGGAGGAAAAGGTGACATATGGATGTTGTGCTAGTTATGTACCCCCCAGGGTCTACATGTATCAGGTCACCTTTTCCTAAGCAAGGACGCATTTGCTGGCTCGGGTCACTCTCGGGTTGGTCCGGTTCGCTGCTTCACATTTGATTCTTTTTTTCTCGGCCGTCTGCAGCTCTAACCCAACAGGATCTCACTTCTAGGAGTAGTCGGCTCCGTCACCCGGGCGCATATCGGTTTGGGGGGGGGGGGGGGATGGCTTGGTGATGGCTGACCTCGACACGGATAAGGTTTCAGACCAGCATTGGAGAAAAAGGGGAGAACATCGCGAAAAGAGGAGTACATCACTACCCAAACACCTACGGTCCAGACCGATGGTCGACTTCCATGCGACTTGGAGTATAGTTGTCTCTTTCAAGTGCCAATTCTCGCATCTCACTTTGTGGGGAGTGTTCTCGATCTGATATTTTGTCTTTTGATCTACTCGTCTGCCCAATTTGCAATTACTTCTTCTCCCAACTTGCGATATTTTTTGTCTAATCGTTTTATTCCACGATCACTTACTGAACAAAGTACAATTATTTCGACCCAGATCTTCATCTTAGTCGCGTTGATAAGATCCGCTGTCCCACCTGCAATCGGCTTCGATTCAATCTCTATTTTTTTCCATTGCGCTCCAAGTCTACGTACGTACGTCTTTTTATCGCCTACTCTCATAAAGCATGCGCTAAAAATTCGAAGAATTCATCCCATCTTTCTCCATCCATTTGATTACTGATAGACAGTTACACCTCCGGCCATTGTGACGAGAAACCCATCGCCATGACTCTCAATCTGGACGACGAACTGTTCACCAGTGCAATCTCCGGGTACCACGAAGCGTTTTTGGTCCAATACTCCCACCTTCCGGAATCCGAACGAAATCAGCTCTGGATTGAACGGCTAAGTCAGTTCATCCCGGTTCCCGACAACCAGGATTCCAACTGGCAGCCTGCTGAGGGCATGGGAAAACGAGCTCGACAGGATGCGACACCACGGACGTTGCCATATTCTGATTCGGGTATTTCTCAGGCAAAACGGAGAGCCACCGTATGTGTGACCTTGGTGACCTGCTCCAACCTTATCTGCTCCGCCCCTCCCACGCTCGTCTCCTGATCCCAACCGCCAGACGTCCTTGGATTGACATTTGGCAGACCCCGGATCTCCCAGTCGACCTAAACCATGGCGGCCCCTGCATCGCCTCCTCCCCCGGCCTACCTCGGATCGGCGCTGGCTTCTCGGGAAAAGGCTCCTATCGACACACGGCCATGGTGCGCCCCCAGTGGCAGCAATTAAAGGTTTCCTACAAGCACCGACCAGCCGGGACCGTGATAGGTAAACGCCAATCCGTTGTCCCGGTACGGGCCCATAGTCGGCTCAACCTTGTCGAAGAATTTTCGCCATCTGAGTATACGAAGTCTTTGGACGCCTCTCCTGGTCAGCCCTTCTGCTCAGCCTTAAATTTCCGACCCGCAGATAATGGACAAACCAGCCAATTGATCCATCCATACCCCAAACGGACATCACCCTGGATTGATCAAACACCAGCAGTTGCGCCAGAGATGTCTCGTAGCACGACTACCGACTCGCTAGTCGGCGGGATCAGCATGTTCCGCTTCGACTCGACTGAACCATCCCACTACCAAGAACTAACCAGTTCCGTCACGTCAGAGTGGGTACCAACATCCACCTCCGGCATCCCGGATCAAGGTTCCTTTCTCTCCCCCGTGTGCTCTGACCTAGATCGTATATCTTCTTCCCTATTCTCCCGTTCTCCCTTCTCCAACCCCTTATTCTCAGCATCCGCCCCCTCAACCACCCCGATCCGCTACCTTAGGCCCTCTAGTTACACCCCCCATGAGTCCATGGAGATGAAGCCGTTCGACTTGATCAACGGGAGTAACTTAACAACACCACACTCGCGCGCTGCGCGCCGCACCAAAGAGCAAATTTCCCAGGCCGCATGCCCTATTGCTCCAAAAGTTGAGTCCATCAAGAGCAGCGTGTCCCAAATTGACCTCCTTTGGACGCACCGCATCTCATCAGCAGACGGTACAACGAAGGAAGTCGCCGCTATCCCCAAGGCCTCGGTGCGACGACCCCCGCGACCAAAGACATACTGCCGTATGTGCACAGACCATCCAGACGGCTTTCATGGTGAGCACGAGTTGCGTCGCCATTTTGAGCGCGTGCACTCATCCATCCGCACGGTCTGGGTCTGCGATGATATCTCGCCTGGCAAGTACTTCCTTGCAAACTGCAAGGCTTGTCGCAATGGGAAGCGGTATGGCGCAAACTATAATGCTGCTGCACATCTGCGCCGCACGCATTTCAATCCATGTGAGCGGGGTCGTGGCGGGCGCGGCAAAGATAGTGAGAAGCGCGGGGGGAAAGGGGGAGGTAATCAGCCTAGTATGGAAATTTTGAAATATTGGATGTTTGCCGCTGAGGAAGTCACCGATGAGGCGGCTGGTGGTGACTCCAACTCAAGGCGTCTGATTCGGAGTCCTAGCTGTGTTTCGACTAAGGATCCTGGATACCAGCTTGCGGTTGCTGCATGTCGCCTGGTGGAGGATCAACCTCCCTACGTTGTGGAGTCAGCTCTGCCGAGGGAGGCTGACACGTTTCCCGGGTTTCCTGATGCGCCGTTTGAGTTTGATTTTGAGCTGGACCTTGAACTCGACCTCGACGTTGAGCAGTCAATGAGTTCCTCTTTCTCTGGTTCACAGTCATCCTGCAGGCCTAATCTTGATTCGTATGTCACATGAACGATCGTAGTCTGTTTCGTCTTTGTCTCTTGTGTGTTCTTTTACGACTGTTTGCCTAGAGCACCGTTTGATCGGGTTTGTGTACTGTAACTTTGGGATGTGATTCATGGTCAGTATCTGGAGGTTAGTGGGGATTGGATTTTCTTTTGGATTTCGATAAATTTGTTTCTTCGGCGATCCATCATATCTATTTTTGGATGTGAGAAAATGGAGTTAAATGGGGTCCGGTTAGTGATAAGAAGAACTCATCGTTGATAATGAATGGAATTAAGGTGCCACAACGTTGCAATGAGAGACGAGATATTCAAGGTAGGTAGCTTTGTATTAGGTAGCTGGTACAAGCATCAGAGTATTCCGTGGTATGAGGGCCCAAGTACCAGGTACTGTCCAGGCAGCAACAATGTGGGCGTTCAAGTGCCAAGAAGCCTGGGCAGCGGACCAAGGCTGTGAGTGGCTGACCATCTCTTGAAGTGGACTCCCGTGTGACCCAGTGGCTGGTTGCCAACCAATCGAATGTCACCCAAGGGCTGCAATTTGTGGCTGACTGCGTAAGTCGACGATAGGGCTGGACAACTGTGGCTGAATGGAATTTGGACGCGAATGCCATATATGGCTCAAGTGGACAATGGCTACGGAGTCCTGGGATTCTATCATGGGATCCAGTCTGAGACATCTAGATGTAGGGTTTCCTATCGTTTATTAGTACGAAATGGATATATCGATTTGTGAATGACTCAGACATCAAAAATGGACATCAAAAGAAAAGAAAAAAAAAACAAACCTTTAAAAAAAAGTGACCAGGTTCAATCTTAACTCACAAACTCGGCCCGTGTGGAGAAGGGAAAAGGGGAAAGACAAAAAGGTACTTCAGAGGTACCTCAGCCCTGAAGTCTTGGCAGACAGAATCTCCTATCGGGCGCACCGGCAAAGTACCTCTCAAGTACCCCAACCATTTCCTTCTCACCTGCAACGCAATCTCCAAAAGGTAAGTCACCTAACTTTTCCTCCTTTCTGACACTCTTACCCTCCCATCTTCATCACCCTCACCCTTTTCCTCTTCTTTTCAACGCTTCACTCACTTATTCCGGTGGCTCATCACAGCCTCCCCCTTGCAATCAATCTTCATCTTTGCCTTCTCCCAGGTACGTGAATTTAACCGCTTTGGCGGTCACTCCTCGATCGTTGACCCCAGTCGCATCACATTGAGGCGCCGCAAGGCCCAAAGTGTAAGATGTGATCAAGCCGCTAATATGTTTCATTTGGTTCTTAGACATCAACCTCCCATCGCTATGTCCTATCAGCCGCAGCCGCCTCCGCAAGGATATCCCCAGCCGGCGTAAGTTATTTCATGATCACCTTTACCCGTGAAATCGGCAGCGACTGTACCATACCGGGGTTCTTAGGATCCACTTCTGTGCACTCCCCGACCGTGGGAAACTGAAGCCTGGTCCATCGCGAACCAACATCTGGCTTGGTCAATATTTCAACTTTCATAGCGTGGTTCTGATCAATCTTTTGGATGTAGGTACGGTGGTGGCTATCCGCAAGAAGGCTACCCCCCTCAACAGGGCTACCCACCCCAAGGATATCCTCCCCAGCAGGGCTACGCTCCTCCCCAGCAGGTCAGTCTTGAGATCAGCAACCCACGCGCTACACATGACGTATTAACAGATTCACAGGGCTACTACCCTCCTCAACAGCCTCAACAGCCCCAACAGCCTCAAACTGTCATAGTGAAGCAACAAGAGGACAAGGGATGCTTCGCGAGTTGGCAAGTATACCTACTGTCATGGAAAGTTGGGAAAACGCTAATGCAAGCTCTTCTCTTTCAGTCTGGCCGCGATGTGCTGTTGCTTCTTGTGCGAAGAGAGTTGTGAATGCTGCATGGAATGCTGCGAAATGTGCTGCTAAGCTCTACCATCAATGATATCGACGATACCTTTCTTCTTGCTGGCGTTGGGATTCTCGACATGCCCCGCAGCGTTCTGGGACAGACTACGGCACTCTTTCATTTGCAATAATTTTATTTTGTCTCTGTTACACCGAGATCTCGTTTTCTTTGAACTGCCTTCTTTATGCTGAGTCAATTTAGTTCCAATCTAGATCTCCCTCACAATCAAGGTTTGTTTGACCGACTTCGAAATTCTCAGTGCAAACATGCAGTGAATGCACAAACAGATTGCCTCTATCAAGACCTTCCATAATGATATTAAACATTATCCGGAAATAATGTGACACCACACGTCGGCAAGCTTTAACTTAATCTTTATTCGTACCAAAGTTAGCGGCCTCGACTTTCCAATATTCTCCAAGGTTTATTTCCCGCCAGGCGTTACGCTTGACAAAGCCTTCAAGCTATTTCTCTTGTTGATAAAAAAAGAAAAAAAATTCAACTGCAATGGGGTTCTTAATGGAAGATTGGATGGATGACTTGCAAATATGGTACGGAGGCGCCTCGCTAGGTCAAGTGTAGCTAGTCCTGGGAGTAAATGGCAGAGAGCCAGTCTCGGTTTTTTGCTTGAGCGCTTTGTTCTATGCATTGCTGTCCGAGTAAGTGAAAGATTAGCCGAAACAAAACAACCAAAGCACCCAGCAAGATATAATTAGATTGAACTTGCCATTATCCTGCTATCTCGCCATTTCATTTTGTGGTTGATCACTTGAACCCCAGCATACGTCGACAGCGCAATTCTTTTGGATATTGGACCAAGCCCACTTGAGACCAATGGGTTGTGCCTCTTATCCCTGGAAGGTGGAGGTGTGAGGGGGCTGTCAAGTCGTCAGAGATTGAAGGATTTGATGACAGAGCTCAATTCAGAACGCGAGGATAGTGAAATTCTCAAGCCATGCGATGTGTTCCACCTGATTGGAGGTACAACTACGGAGTGCAGGAGGGTGGGTCCAAAAAAAAGGGATCTAGCAGAAGCTTGGCTGACAGAATGCGCGCAAATTTTTAGACTGAACGCTATAAGGCTAGGACAGCTGGAAATGGGTGTTGAGGAGGGCATCCTTGCATACACCGAAAGGATGAAATCGGTATTCCGCGACAAAATTCGCAATATTCCAATTGACTGGTCTGGAAAGATCGTTATCACAATACGACAGCAAGAAATTCAAAAAGGCTATTGAGATTGTCATCAATCGTACTGGGTTGTGCCCAACCGACCTGATAAACGATGGAAAGCCCCGTCGGTCTAAAATCTTTGTCTGCACAACCTCCGAAGATACCTTTCGAGTCGCACGTCTTCGAACCTATTCTGTTCCAAATGAGACTGCGTTGCCGGTGACGATTTGTGAAGCAGCATTCGCAACATCCGCTGCTACCAGGTCCTTTGATTCGGTTTTGATCGACAGCCACCAATTTGTGGACGGTGCATTCGGTGCCAACAACCCAATCGAGGAAGTAGAAGAAGACGAAGCGACCGACAGATGGTGCGCTACGAGCCGAGAATCTAAAACCATTAATGAAATGTTTGGTGTCTGTTGGAACTGGCGAGCCTGCACAATCCCCCATAAATGACAATGTGATCAAATTTCTTTCAAAGAAATTTGTGCGCCTAAGGCATGATGACTCTCGCCTCGATGTGCATCGTTTAGTTCATCTTGCAACAAGAAAATGGCTACAGTCAATTGGTTCCCTGCGACAATGGCAGTCATATGTGTTGAATTGGTTAAATGCACGCTTTCCGGATATTGACATCATGCACGGAAGTCAATGGCGAGCTACAGTACCTCATGCCCTCTGGCTCCCCACTCTGACAAGAACAAGAGGATCCCACCCCCGAGACAGTCTATTTGTCACTCAAGGTAGCCACCTTTCAAATGAACGATGCGAGGATCAATGAAGCCGAGACTCTTTACGATGAAGTCGTTAATATTTCGGAGACAATGCCTGATCTTGAAAGCTCATATAGTATTTCTGCTTTTGCGGGATTTTTACAGATCTACATGGACCAGGGCAAGATGGCGAAAACGCTCCTATTGTGTGAGGAGATAATAGAGATCCAGAAACATCTTTATGGTTCGGGTACCTTCGAAGTGAACCGAGCATTTGCTCACTTAACGGCTTGCTACGTTGAAACCCTCGACTTCGAGAAGGCTCAAGCTCTTTATAAGGAAGTAATTCCACACTTTATCAAGGCATTTGACCTCACTCACGAGGAGACGGTGGATTTGATATCACGCCTGACAATAGCCTACTCTTCAATGGACAGCTCTCAGATGCGACAGAGTTATCTGAGCAGTTGTTGCAAATCACCAAAAGGACCGTCAGATTGGAAGATCTTCAAACATCTAGTGTAATGATTAGGATAGGCGGAATATACTTGGAGCGATAGCAGATGAAGAAAGCCGAAGCGTTGTGTAAGGAAGCACTTGAGATCGATAAACGCACACGTGAGCCTGAATATCCCAACACCATCTCAATAATGGGTTGGCTAGCTACTACATGGAAATACCAAGGACGAGACAAGATCGATGTAGCCTTGAAGGCTGAGTGTGTCGCTTTGAGTAGTCAAGTCAGTGGTTTTGATCATTCCTGGACACAACTTCTGCACTTACATCTGGAGGAATGGACGAATCTTAAGTAAGTGTCTCCCCAAGGAGCTGAAAATGATGATACATACATTTTCATCGCTGTCCAAGAACAATCCGCTCCTTCCTGTGCAATAATCTGCGTTTTGTTCGGTGAGGAGATAGCGGAGGGCCCTATCTCCGAAAGTCCAACTATTAGGTCGCTGGATCCCGTGGCCGGTAAAAATAGACCTCTTGCTCTGCGAAATCTAGGAAATCGTGAAGTGCATATCTGTAGAAAATAAGCTGCGACTGGTGCAGTTACGGTACTTGATGGCCAGAAAACCGGAAAAGAATTTGTGACAGGATCATCTCAACAACCCTTCCAATCATCTGTTTGAGGGCATACGTGATTTCAAGTTTAGGGTCTTTTCCCTTTGAACTTTGATGCATTTTGATCCTAGTCTAAATCCAATTAAATTAGTACATGGCTGAAGATAGCGAATAAGAAGCAAGCCATCACACATTTAGTTGATCCTTGCTATGCAGGGAAACCATTTGAGCAATCTTTGACCGTGCCCGCACCGAGTTAATTTTTCTTTTAGTCACCACATGCTAAAGAGTAATGGCCAATGAAAAACTAGTCGAAGCAGTGGAGTAAGCTCGACCTGTTGCAGAGCAGTTTGCTATGACCGCGTCTCCACCTAGAAGCCCTCGGATGAGACGATAAGTGGTCAGCCCATCCGAAATTTTGGCCTAACTGATAGGTTGGCATGCAGAATACCGGAACTCATCTTGATTTCCGCGAATTCCAATTCTGATTCAATGGAGATCTCCTTAATCAGTGAGACGAACACAGGAATCAATTAGCAGCAGTGACAATCAAATCTTGTCTATAGGTTCTAGAAATCCGTACAACCAGCTCACATAAACACCGACTCAAGCAATATCACATCCACCGTGGCCCGTGGTCCAGCCCAAATCAGATAACTCTGGCAATTTCCGAGATCCATGTGGGCCCAGAATTTCTTGCACGACAAGCGAGACAATTGAGCGAATTCCATGACTTGTGACCGGAAAGACGAGGAAGTACCCACAATAAATATGGAATTCCTGAAGCCAAGAGGCCCAAGTGAAGCTTGGGACTAACGCTACAAAGCTTAATGTGGGGTGCGCTTACCTGTTATGGCCTAGTACTAGTGAGATAAGATGAGGGCAACATCTGATTAGATCTGCCCTATTTGTTGTTTCTCGGTGGGTCAAGCGCCAGGCCTACAGCCCTGATGCTAGTGGAGGAAAGATTTTCACTGAGCAGAGGCCACGAAAACCCCCCGATTTCAGCATGTGGATCCTTGCACAGTGTGGTCTTTTATGTTCATTTTGGTCTCCCATCCGAACTGTGCCGACCTCCGGGATTTTAGTGATATAAGTGCCACCGGTGCCCCCATTATTTCCAATGCTGTGTTGAGTCCTTGTTGAATTTTAACTTGTTTTGACTATGGGCCTCCGTCTTTTGATCCGAAGGGCCCGCACGGTCTTCAGTCGCAAAGTAGCTTCTGACGCTGGAGGCTTAAATGACACACTCGCAGTGGATGAAACAACCGCCGAGGAAGGCAAGAGAGATCCTGCCGCCGATCCTGAAGCTCAGCAGCCGGAAGTGCCATCAGAAGACCTGCAGCATGGTGTCAGGGATATCGAGGCCATCACCATGACCTGGTCCAAGCGAACCTTGATTCTGGTTTTTCTCAAGTGAGCCCCTTTCCTGGGGTAAAATTGAATAGTTGCTAAAACAGTTTCTTCGCAGTATCTGGTTCCTGTACTTTGTCAACGCTTTCCAATCCTCCGTTTTCTCCAGCTTGAGCCCTTATGTCTCAAGTTCTTTTCAGGCCCACTCGCTGTCCGGTGTGCCTACTGCGCTTGCCGATGCTTTCTCAGCGGCAGTTTATATTCCTGTCGGAAAGATGATGGACACCTGGGGCCGTGCGGAGGGATTTCTGCTGATGACATGCTTCGCTACCCTGGGATTGATTCTCTTGGCCTCTTGCAACAGCTTTGCCATCTACTGCACTGCATACGTAAGAGCACCATCGAAGTCCACTATAGCGCCCCAGCAGGCATGCAACGCAAATGCTTACGCCTCATCTTAGGTATTTTATAACATCGGATTTAGTGGTATGGAATATGCCATTGATGTGATGACGGCCGACGCTTCCAAATTGAAGAACCGAGGCCTGGCTTTTGCCTTCACTTCTTCACCATACATTATTACCGCTTTTGCCGGACCGAAAGTAGCAGATGAGTTCTACTATCAGGTCAGCTGGCGATGGGGCTTGGGTTGCTGGGCCATTATCTTCCCTGTCGTGGCAGCGCCTTTGTACTTCATGCTGAAGATCAATCTTCGCAAAGCCGAAAGAGAAGGTCATCGGGTCCAGGAAAAGAGTAACCGCTCATTGTTGCAAAGTATTTGGTATTGGACCATGCAGTTTGACTGTGAGTGACCCCTTTCTCTATCATTTTGGTGCTGCACTTATTGCGTCGGTTGGAAATTATCGACACGACTTGCCAAATTCAACCATTTAGCTCTTTAAACAACGACTAATCTCGACCAGTGCCTGGCGTTGTCATGTTTACCGTTGGCCTGGTCCTCTTCGAAGTTCCTTTCGACATCGCGACTGACGCGCCTCACGGCTGGGCCTCGGGCTACATCATCGCCATGCTTGTGGTCGGGTTCTCGATGCTCTTTTTCTTTGCCATGTACGAAAAATGGGTGGCCCCCGTGCCTTTGCTCAACATCATCTTCCTCACCGACCGAACCGTCATCGGAGCCTGTCTTTTGGATGCCACTTACCAGCTATCTTACTACTGCTGGAACAATTACTATACATCCTTCCTCCAGGTGGTCACCGGCCTGACCATTGCCGAGGCAGGCTATGTCAATAACACATTTGATGTCGTGTCCGGTGTGTTACTTCTCATCGTCGGCTGGATTATCCGAAGGACTGGCCGTTTCAAGTGGCTGTTATACATCTCTGTTCCGCTTTACATCTTTTCCCAGGGATTGATGATCTATTTCCGCAAGCCTGGTATGGGGGTCGGATACCAGATCATGTGCCAGATTTTCATTTCCATCGGAGGCTCGATTTTTATTCTCGTCGAGCAGATTGCCATTTTGGCCGCAGTCGATCACCAACACGTTGCTGCTGCATTGGGTTTGTTGAACGTCGTTGGTACTATTGGCGATTCCGCCGGTTATACCATTTGCACGGCTATTTGGACCAATACCTTTCCCAAAGCTCTAGCAAAATACCTCCCCGAGTCAGCGATGTCAAACTTCGAGAATATTTACGAAGATATCACTGTGCAGACTAGCTATCCTATGGGAAGTGAAGTGCGACTGGCTATCCAGAAGGCCTACGGCTATGCTGAAGTCCGCATGCTTTCGACTGGTTTGGGTGTGATGGCTCTGGCTATTGTCTGGACTATCATGATGAAAGATATTGATCTCAAAAAAACTGCCCAGGTCAAGGGCACTGTCTTCTGAGAATCGACCGAAAAGATAGCTACGGTGTGCGGTTGGATATCTGACTGCGCGCATCATTCTTTTCATCCTCTTCCATGCTCACTGGGAGGATTCAATCATAGTAATAATCACTCTTTGTCTTCTATTTCCCACTTTAGATTTATCTGTTTTCTGTCAACTCCTTGTCTATCCGGGGAGCGCATGCGTCTTCAGTAGTCAATTGCCAGAGCTTAACGTTGACCCATCACTAGAAGCGGGTGAGGTGACGTTAGCCTGCTAGGATCTGAATTCAGGAATCGAGGATCAGATCTTAAGATAATTGCTTCTAAATGTACAAGTAGGATGGATCAATATCTACCTACCGTTCAGCTAAGTTACAGCTTTGGTGCCATTAAAACATTTCACGTAGGACATGTCTCTTGTTGTGACATTGATTCTTGCTACCCTATTTCATTCTCCAGTCATCCATTGCTTGGACTACCATCAAGGCTTCCTCGATATTATAATGGATCAGCGATCCCTTTTCTTGATAATTTTCTATCCATCGGAACAAAAAAACCGGATGGGCTCAAGTCAACTATCTTCCCAGTTCAGTCAGAAGAGGATCTACTGGGTGATCTGCAAAATCCATAGCCACCAAGGGTTGGGATCGTCCTTGGTGCAATGATCGTGTGGTTGTCCATCAAAATCGAGTTTTTATCCTCTAAGCGGAGCTCCAGGATCATCTCTGGTAACAACTCGGTTTTTAGAGGCTTTAACATTTTAGCCAAAGGATTCTGGGAACGGGTTCGGTCTATGCACAAGAAGTAAAACAAGTCAAATGTCTGCTTCTGATTGTCGTCATTTGATCCAGTCTGTTTGGTCGATTCAACCAGACTCTCCAGCGGTCTGCATTGGAACGAGCCTTGTTCATGTTAGTGGCCCCCTAATACCAAGTGGCTGGAGGTTCGCTCTAACCGCAAGCCCAAAGAGTCGAAAAATTCACAATCCGGGGCCCAAACACACCAAGACACCAGGGATTTGCAAAAAAGCTGGGCATGTATGGAGCAATTCCAATCATCACCGATCCCAAGCCACACATGTCCGATCACACTTTGTTCAACTAACTCTTTCGCAAAGGAGATCAGACAATTTGCAATGGCAGCCGAGGGGTCAAGAGCGCGTCAAGTGGAAGGCACTTGAATATGGCCCCAATTCTCATATCAGCGTGCTGAGCCGGTCACTGCTCACAGGTGCAAGCCTTGGCATTTTCTCTGCCAAGACTGCTGCGATATTACATGATCCGACACAAGAAATAGACCCATACGACATAGGGCCTTGCTTATGCCGATGATTCCCCAGACGGTGATTACTTGTAGGGGTTCCCTCTTGGTATATGCACCCCCCTCCCTGGATATTTACCTAATTGGGAATAAAGTATTGCTAATGCAGTTATGGCGAACAGATTGCCCAGCCCACATGGGAAGACCAAGTCATCCTCCTGGAACCCCTCATGGAGATTTACTAGATTGGGAGGAAAAAATGTCGGTATTACGGTCGCTGCTGGCACATTGTCCGGCACAAAAGACGATGTCAAGGTTCGATACTCTAGCCCGCTCAGACGTCACCTCGATTCATCCGGGTCGATGGGTGCACAAGCAGGAGCTCGACTAGTTATCCGGCACAGCATTCCTCGCTTGGGCACTGAACTCCTTGCAGATAAATATTCACCATAGCGCGTCTTTGACTCCAACTCCCTGCATTCCGAATACCGCTGGGGAGTGAATTAGCCAGCTGTGGACTGAACACAGCACCATGTTGTACAAATATCTTTCACTGCCATTTTTGGCATCATATGGTACCGCTGTCACCATTTCTGTTGCGAGATCCGGAGGAAATGCTACATCAGGTCTGCAATATGGTGCTATGGAAGAGGTGAATTGAGCTTCTTGTCTATTGCAGTGTTGTATCTAACTCGGGGTTCAGGAAATCAATCACTGTGCCGAGGGAGGCATATATGCCGAGTTGATCCGCAACAGAGCGTTCTGCGATAGTACACCAGCCGAGCGGCCATTTGCACATCCGGAGGCATATTATACATAGCGGAGACTGAGTGACGGATCTCATCAATCACCTAAGAGGAAGCAATTATTGTGGTCAGTAAGGCTTGCTCCGGGGCTCGCTGTCATCAAATGGCGAAGGAATTGTACTTTCCATTTATCAGGTATTCCACTCAAGGCCTCCCCCAGGCCTGAGTTCAGTGTATTCTGCGTGATTGTGGAGGTCACTGCGACGCCCCAAACGATTCCGAGGGAGCGGATGAGGTAGATAGTTGAAGCGGAGACGGTATGATCTGCACAGCATTGTTAGCAGGTTTGTTTGGCGAACGTCCTAGTCGCTCACAGATTCGGGTGTCGTGGCTGGAGGTATAGGACTAGGAATGAAGTGAAAACAGTCTTGCCGGTGTGGTCGAAGGCTGCGAGGAATGTGAACAAGATTCCTGGGTACACCATCCCCTGACCAAGGTTTGCGGGAATGACAAAGAGGATATCCTTCCATGCTAGGTCACTGAATCGAAGGAGCACGACGAGTAGGTTTCCGATGAACATTAGCGCTGCACCGACGCGCACAATGGAGGCCAGCATGCCCCAGCGTGACATTGTGATTCCCGCTGCAAGCCCACCGAGGGGAGTGAAGAGACAGGGGATCACCAATCGAGTGCCAGCCTTGCTGGGCGAGTCGAGGAGAATCACCTGGAACATGAGAGGCAGAGTAAAAAGGTACTTAATGCGCCGTGTTGGTAGTAACGCTCACAAGGCTAGCCGAACGGGTGGACCTTACTGCGTATGCTGCCATCCCCACACAGACGTTGGCAATCTGTGTGGAAATAGCAAGCTGTCCGTGTAGCATCTTCACTGGAATCAAAGGTGCGGCGGTGGTTTTCGCTTCAACGGCGAAAAACGCGACCAGCAAAATCACACTAGTGACCAACGGCAGAATTACCCACGGGTGAGTCCAAGGGAGGATGTTACCACCCAGGCTGAGTCCAACTAGCTGAGCCGAGAGAGCCAGAATGAGCAGACAAGCGTCCAGTGCATCAATTTGCTGCCACATTCCCTGCTTCCGCCCACCTGGGAAAGATTCAGTGTCGCGTGGTGGGAACTTCAAGACCAGATAGCCCATGATCAGAGAAAACAACGAAATTAGAATCTGCAGCAGGAAGTACCAACGCCATCCGATCGAGTCAACGATCGCACCTCCGACAGAAGCACCACAGATGGCTCCGAAACCGTACGAGACGTTCTGAATTGCTTGGTACATCCCGCGCTGGCGGAAGGGGACAAGATCCGAGTTGATAATTGTTGCTGGGATGCCTGTCGGTGATAGATTGGTGAATTGGAACTTCATTGACGTGCCCATAGCCATAAACCCTCCACCTCCGTTGCCTGCCAAGGCGCGCATGATGTTCAAAAACATTACATCACGGGCCACGGCAAACCCTAGACAACCTATCATGAAGGCGATGGTGGCCGTGAAGAAACCAGAGCGGCGACCGAGGATATCGGAGAACCGGCCATAGAGAGGCTGGAACGTTGTGCTCGTGATCAAGTACGAGGTGGTCAGCCATGAAGCAGTATTGGCAGAATTGAACTCTGAGCTAATCACAGTATAGGTCGAGGCAGTGATGGTGCCGTCAAACCCACCAAGAAATACATTGGCCATGGTTGCTGTTAAATTGAGACATGCGAACGGGGTCATCTTCTCCGCCTACCAAGCACGACATCGTATTCCACAAAGGCATACAAGCCTGTTAGCAACCCTTGAACGAGGATGTATGATGTGTGCCATTCTCTTCTTGTCGTCTCATCTTCGACATTTCTTCCAATCAAAAGAAGTCAAATAGATGAGACTTAGTGCAGAGTACCAAACTATAGTCCGTGTACCCTATCGAACAGATCCTGACCAGCATCATGGAAACTGATTGTCAGACCAGGACTTCTAATGAGACACCTTGAAACAATTGCCTGAGCTGTAGTGCTGTTGCCGCTCTTCGCAGTAGATTGTTTTCCTAACGGCAATGGCTTGGCCAATTGGAGCTATGAGGGAGCTGCGACTGAAGCACTCGCCATTGTGGCCGAGAAGAGCCTAATGGGGCACCGAGGTTTCTATTATGTGGAATGGTTATATCGAGATGGTTGCTTGGCGAGTTTAGTGCCGTTGCGGATGGATTTTAGGTCCCGCGGGTTTTCGGGTAAGGCTACACGCGAAGGGGTTTAACACGTCCTTTTCGCTGACTGGTCACTCAGCACTGTCGCTTGTTGGCTGAGATTGTCTCGGCTCTTAGTAGTGTCTTAGCTACGACTCGCGCTGCTCATACTCAGGAAGCAGTGCTCCACTGTGGTATTGCTATTTCGGGCCCTGAAGATCGCGGCTCCTGGAGATGGTTGATGATACAGGCATAGATAGTGGTTTGAAGCAGTCAAAGAATTTCTTCTTGAAAGGTCCCTGCACATTCTAGGCCTTTCCTCGCCCTTTTCTTCCTTTTGGTTCTGAACCTGAAGAGCGGGCAGAATCTAGAAAAGGCTTACTAAATGGACCGCGGAACTACCGAAACGACCACGGAAAAGACTACCAAATGGCATGACAAGCGTCATGAGCCGACTATTCTTCCAGGTTGACATCATGCTTTCCTTTACCGGACCGTTTGAGATCCGGATGTCCTAGATATAGGGTTTTTGTTCCTTTTTCGTGTGTTCAAATAGACTCTCGGAATGTCAGAATACCGAGCCAACTGCGTCTGATATATTGGCCGAATCCGAGATCCGTTTACCGAAAAGGGAAGTTGCTACAAGGTGGGGTGGGGGTGGGAGAAGGGTAGGATGCTACCCAGCCAATCAAGAGGCCAGAAAACACCTTAATCTATAGGTTAGGTGCAGTCTTATACTCTCTTAATGCAATGTTACATTCACGTCAAAGATTCAGATATTCAGACATTCGGAAATCCCAACGTTCAAAATAGTGAAAGGTTCAGCTGAGAATGAGACATCCGTAGGACACCAAAATCCCCAGTGACCTTTTCGGAAAGAGCTATGACGGACCATGGATGATGCCGTTCTTTCCTCTTTCCTGTTAAAGCTTCTCGGATCGGTCACTTTCCGCTTACCGTTCTGTATCTGAAGTTCTGACCTTCTCTTACCCTCTTACATTCCCTCCTTTCTCTCACTTGTCACGTCTCACCTTTTTGTTTTCTTCGATCAACTCTCTCGTTTACCTCCCTATACCATCTTTCTTTCATGGATTCGTATCTTCTCCCTTCATTAGGCTTCTCGTCGACTCTACTCATGCCAGATCGGATGGGAAACATGCCTGCCAATGCTGCAGTTGATGCCCCAGGCTCGGAGACCCCAATATCTGAGCCCGGGGATGATCGCGACAGACAAATCACCAATCTTGCACAATCCCTCTCAAGAATCTCACAACAGAGCAGTGTTAATACCAGTCAAGCTGTAGAGGGTGTCAACGCCTTCCTCGACTCCAGTGACCCTGAGCTAGATCCCAAAAGTGACCAGTTTAAGTCGCGCAAATGGGTGAAGAACATCATCCAGATGACGTCTCGCGATCCAGACCGGTACCCGCGTCGTACAACAGGAGTCTCCTTCCGTAACCTCAACGTATTCGGATACGGCACTGCGGCTGACTATCAGACGGACTTTGCCAACTTCTGGCTCAAAGGCGCAGGGCGGTTCCGCAGCCTCCTTGGCTTGCAGAAGAAAGTACGCATTGAAATCCTGCGGGATTTCGAAGGCATGGTTCATAGTGGTGAGATGATAGTTGTGCTGGGTCGCCCGGGAAGGTACGAGAATCAAGCTCTCTCCCCCTGAAAGATTAATCATCACTAACGACCACTAGCGGATGCTCTACCTTCCTTAAAACTATCGCTGGAGAGACGCATGGCCTCTACCTCGACAAGGATAAAGGGTCCGAGGTTCAATATGAAGGCTTGTCCTGGGACGACATGCACAGCCGTTTCCGCGGCGAGGTTATCTACCAAGCTGAAACAGAAACTCATTTCCCCCAGCTAACCGTCGGCGATACACTGCTGTTTGCTGCTCACGCTCGAGCACCGAGCAACCGACTTCCCGGTGTCACACGCGACCAGTATGCGATTCATATGCGCGATGTGGTAGTGACGATGCTTGGCTTGACCCATACTGTGAATACCAAGGTGGGCAATGAGTTCATTCGAGGTATATCCGGTGGGGAACGAAAGCGGGTCAGTATCGCCGAAACCATTCTGTGTCGATGTCCTTTGCAGTGTTGGGACAACAGCACTCGTGGACTTGATAGCTCCACTGCGCTAGAATTTGTCAAGAACATCCGCCTGTCCACTGACTATAGTGGATCCACCGCCTTGGTCGCAATCTATCAAGCGAGTCAGTCCATCTACGACCTGTTTGACAAGGCACTTGTTCTCTATGAAGGCCGTCAGATCTATTTCGGTAGCGCGCCCAATGCACGACTCTTCTTCATCAAGATGGGATTCCACTGCCCAGAGAGGCAAACCACAGCGGACTTCCTTACTTCTCTCACCAGCCCTTCGGAACGCCTGGTTCGCCCCGGATTTGAAGAGTCCGTTCCTCGCACCCCCGATGAGTTCGCAGCCCGCTGGAAGGAAAGCCCCGAGCGTAAGCAACTTCTAGCGGAGATTGCAGCAAACACCGCCGAAAATACCACCGGAGAAACAAAATTTGACCAGTTCAGTCGCTCCCGCGCAGCTGACAAACCCTGGTTCACTCGCGCAGCCTCCCCATACACACTCTCGTTCCTGATGCAAACCCGCCTGTGTCTTTGGCGAGGGTGGTTGCGGCTCAAGGCAGACTTGGCTATGACACTTGCCACGCTCATTGGAAATGTAGGCATGTCTTTGATTATTTCCAGTCTCTTCTACGACACACCGAACAACACCGACAGCTTCTACAAGCGTGGATGCCTACTTTTCTTTGCCATAATGATCAGTGGGTTCTCCAGCTCCCTGGAAATCATGATCATGTGGCAGCAACGGCCGATTGTGGAAAAGCATCGCAAGTACGCACTATATCATCCCTCGGCGGAAGCTATTAGTGCATACATTGTGGAACTTCCATCGAAGATCTTGCTCGCAGTTGTCTTCAATTTGATCATCTATTTTCTACCCCATCTTCGACGCACTCCGGGCCATTTCTTCATTTTTTTCCTCTTTTCGGCAATGACGACCCTTGTGATGTCCAATATCTTCCGGTTTATCGGCGCAATCTCTCGGTCTGTGGCCCAGGCCATGCCTCCTGCTTCGGTCTTCATGCTTATCCTGGTCATTTACACCGGGTTTACCATTCCAGTCCGAGATATGCACCCTTGGTTCCGATGGCTCAACTATGTGAACCCGATTGCTGTAAATGATGATTGAATTTTTGCCCGGCCAGACAAGAATTTGCTAACACGAGATAGTACGCCTTTGAGGCTCTGATGATCAATGAGTTCGGCGGACGATCCTTCCCTTGTTCGAACTTTGTGCCGGGTGGCGTGGAAATTTATAAGGACGTACCTCTCAGCTCCAAAATCTGTTCCCAGAAAGGTGCTGTTGCAGGTCAAGATTTCATCAATGGAGAGACATACATCAACACAGCTTACCGATACTATAGCCCACATCTGTGGCGAAATTTCGGAATTCTCTGCGCTTTCTTCGTCGCCTTTTTTGGGCTGTACATCTTCTGCAGCGAGTTAATCCGAGCTAAACCATCCAAGGGTGAGGTTCTAGTGTTCCCACGTGGCAAGATGCCTGCTTGTGCCAAGAACACTCGAAAAGACGATCCAGAGGAGATTGTTGCATCAGAGAAAGGTGCAGTTGCTAGTGAACCTCAGGACACAACTGCAGCAATTGTTCGCCAGACTTCGGTTTTCCACTGGGAGAACGTGTCTTATAAGATCAAGATCAAAGGGACTCATCGATTAATCTTGGACAGGGTAGATGGCTGGGTCAAGCCCGGCACTTTAACGGCCTTGATGGGTGTCACTGGTGCAGGAAAAACAACCTTGCTCGATGTGTTGGCTGATCGTGCCACTATTGGCATCGTCACCGGTGAGATGCTTATTGATGGCCGGCTACGCGACGATTCTTTCCAGCGGAAGACGGGTTACGTGCAGCAACAGGATCTACATCTGGAGACTAGCACAGTTCGTGAAGCTCTGGTTTTCAGCGCTCTTCTACGCCAGCCTGCCAACATTTCGCGCCAGGAAAAAATTGCATACGTTGAAGAGGTCATTCATATGCTTGGCATGGAAGAATACGCAGATGCCGTGGTAGGCGTTGTTGGTGAGGGCCTCAATGTGGAGCAGCGCAAGCGATTGACTATCGGTGTGGAATTAGCAGCCAAGCCAGATTTGCTGCTGTTCTTTGATGAACCCACTTCGGGTCTGGATAGTCAAACCGCTTGGTCAATCTGTACCCTGATGCGTAACTTGGCCAACCACGGTCAAGCTGTACTGTGTACCATTCACCAACCTTCGGCAATGCTGATGCAGCAGTTCGACCGCCTATTGTTTCTTGCTAAAGGAGGACGCACTGTTTACTTTGGGGACCTCGGCCCAAACATGGAAACGTTGATCAAATACTTTGAAAGCAAAGGGTCGCCCAAGTGTCCACCAAACGCAAACCCGGCCGAATGGATGCTGGATGTCATTGGTGCTGCGCCGGGATCCCATGCAGATAGAGATTGGGCTGAACAATGGACCAACAGTCCCGAGTGCGCAGAAGTTCACACAACGTTGGCTGGAATGAAACAAGATTTGTCTAAAAGCGCCGTACCCCTGCAGCCTGCAGGGTTTGGTGAATTCGCTATGCCAATCTGGCATCAGTTCCTCATTTGTACTCAACGTACTTTTCAGCAATACTGGAGATCTCCGTCATATCTGTACGCCAAGGTTCTCACCTGTACTGCTCCGGTAACGTATCTCCCTTCCCTTTAGTTGGTTAAACTGACACTTATAGCCACTGTTCCTCGGATTTACCTTCTGGCACATGCCTACCAGCCTTCAAGGGCTGCAGAATCAAATGTTTGCAATATTCATGCTCCTCGTCATCTTCCCGGGTCTAGTCCAGCAGATGATGCCATCCTTTGTCACGCAGCGTGCTTTGTATGAGGTACGCGAACGGCCTTCGAAGGCTTACTCGTGGAAGGCATTCATGATGGCCAGTATCCTCGTGGAGCTGACATGGAGCATCGTGATGTCGGTGCCAATATTTTTCTGCTGGTATTACCCAATCGGGTTTTATCGCAATGCAGAGCCCACAAACGCCGTCATCGAACGAAGCGGCATCATGTACTTACTCGTCTTACAGTTCATGATGTTCACGTCGACTTTTAGCTCAATGATAATTGCGGGAATTGAAGAGCCCGACACTGGCAGCAACATTGCCCAGTTCATGTTCTCGCTTTGCTTGGTCTTTAACGGGTACGTCATCTGCGGCTGTTTGGTTTTTTTTTTAAATTGGCAACGGTGCTGACTGGACTTGAAGCGTACTCGCAAATTCTTCCGACATGCCTCACTTCTGGATCTTCATGAATCGGGTCTCACCATTTACCTACTTTGTGTCCTCCGTGCTCTCCACAGGTCTGACTGGGACTTCGGTGAAATGTTCTAGTATTGAGTGGCTCACCGTCTCACCTCCAGAAGGGCAGAGTTGCGGCAGTTATCTGGACCCTTACATCAAAGCTGTGAACGGCACAATGCTGAATCCTGAAGCGTTGGTGGATTGCAAGATCTGCCCAATGTCGAGAACGGACCAGTTCCTCAAAAGTCTCAACATGTCGTACTCGGATGTTGGGCGCAATATCGGGTTGCTGTTCGCCTATGTGGGGTTCAACATTGTCGCCGCACTCTTCCTGTATTGGCTTTGCCGCGTCCCTAAGCATTTGTGGCGCAAGTCAAACCAGGCCTGAATCGGTCATATTCTTTCTTTTTTTTTTCTCGAGTTGGGGGGGAGGGGGGTGAAGGTTGCTTGTTGCAGCCGATTTTTTCCCAAGAGATTCTGTGCGTTTCTCCTCGGGGTTCATCGGAACTACTCTCTTGCTTTGTTGATCCCGGCACAGAGTGTTATCTTGTCAAATGTATCTCAAACATGTAGCTTAAGTGAATGTTGTATTATTTTCGTAACTCTTTGCACTTCTATATAATCAGTGTGGGTGAGAAATCGATCTGTTCCCTTTGGGCTGCTCTCGATGGCGAAAGCGCTAGTATTTTTGTGGCGCAATACCATCGAGGTCCATAGCCGGGCTGTGAGGTGGACACGATAATCGAGAATAAAGTCAGGTTTCTTGCCGCTCAAGATTGGGAACTCTGCTTCTGAAAATTTCAGGGATGGGTTCTGTGGAGACAATGGTTGTTGGGGAAACAATTCACCAACCGAGTGCCGTTCAAGGAAGCCTGGACTTAATGCCCTTTTGTGACCAGTCGGGGTGGCTCCTCGTGAGGATCGACGGCCCACGACTCATCACCAAATGGTCGAATCCCAGGTTTTCTCTAAGACGCGAGCGGATTGTACTTGGGGACAGCACCTAGAAAGGGGCATCGGACACAATTATGAAAATGGGATAATCATACAAACGCTTATTGGCGATGTGGTTGAAGTTTACCTCGCAGAAGGGTTGATGAAAGTTATGCTTCAAGCACCCTTAAGGGTAGGAGATATTCTACATCGATTGTCACAGCATGCCCTATTCAATTTCAAGCAGCACAACAATACTTGCAAGGCACTCAAATTTGTTCCAAGACAACTATGTCACATAACAAGACACGGATAAGATGGACTAGTGACATATTCTCAGACAATTCCGAAGATATAGGTAGCCAGGTTCACAGATGGAGGGGTCTCAGGAGAGTAGATCACATTCGATTGCTGGCCCCATTGTGGATTGTTGACAGAATCAATCCAGCCTTCCGGTTCAATCGCTAGACAACCATATTTCTCCACAAATCTAGCGGCGTTCGCATTGTCCGAATTTCGCTCCCCCTGCGAAGGCTTCACGGGAATCGTTCCATCCATGTTCAAACAGGTGAAAACCTGCAAAGCAGGCTGGTTTGTTGCAACCTCCATGCTAATTCCTGTGGTGCTGGAGTTCAATCGGAGAGCAGGAATAAGTGAGTCGGGAGCAGAGGATGTCAGGTCACGATCAATGATAAAGCAGTTGTCGTATCCCACATCACTGCCGACAAGACCTTGGGTATATTGAATGTCATGGCCGATAATTTTGCCAGTCACAAAGTCCAACGATTGATGATTGGTGTCATCGACGGTAGAGATGGCGCCATTGGGGACTTGAAGACTATCCGTGGCGATGAACCGTTCAGACAGAGGCAGTTGTAGCCATGTATCATTGAGGATAGTTGGCTCCTTGAAACCATTCAGGTTCCAGTAGATGTGATTGGAGAGCATGATAGGAGTGGAGTGAGTGAGAGCCTGTGAAACCAACTTGGTCGTCAGCCGGGGACGTCCCTGTGGGTTCTCTGCTGTGATCTTGGTGTCGACACTGTATGTAGCCTGCGTAATGACGTCTCCTGGGAAGCCTTGAAATGCAGCGTCGTAAAGCTGGAAGGTAACAGAGGAAGGTGAGGATGCAAGCACAGTCCAGTTCCGCTGATCGTAACCAAGGTCTCCACCATGCAGCGTATACAATCCACCTTGGTTCTTGGGAATGTGGTACTCGGTTCCATCCAGGGTAAAAGTACCATTCTTGACACGGTTGGCAATCCGGCCAAGGACAGCACCGAAATAGGTATGACTTGTCTGAGTATCTTCTCGATACCGACGCGGATCGTCGTAGCCGACGACAATGTCTTGTCCAGTGCCATCCCTGTCCGGGACTAGGAGGGAGATCAATAGCGCCCCATATGGAATGAACTGGGCTGTGATGTTACCGGCGGAGATTGTGAAGACCTTAAAGGGATCTACGGAGCGTTCCGTGGGATATGACTGGCCGACAGCGATAGGAACAAACCCACAAATTGCAATGAGTTGCTTACGATACATATTGCAATTTGATGAGATGTTGTGGCACACGTAAAAGCAAATGCAAGCATGTTAGAATAACAGGTCTAGGAACGCCTTTTAAATCAAGTAGATGGACAGACCCACATTATCGCAGTGTATGTATACAGCATAAATCGGTCATTACGGACCCGGACGGAAGAGAAAGGATTAGAGACACGGTGTCGGCATGCCGAGTGTATTCTCTCTCTTCCGGTTTCACATCCCATTTCCTCAATGTCAGCTTCAGTTTCACCGAGGTTATACCTTTACTTTCCGTGCTTGGCATCATTCCAAAGGATGTTCAGACATTCTCTGGAGTCTTTTCGGAGGTATCATCGATGGGAAGTAGTAATCTGATCGCCGTTCTTGTTTCTCCCTCCTCAAGGCCTTCCAAATTCCCGCTAAGGACTTGCCCAGGTGTAGATGTTGAGTTGCCTAATCAGGAAGGCTTACCATTCCTAAAACACCTCTCGGATAGCCAAGGATCCCCTCTACAGCGCTGTATTCTCTACTAGGGCCCTATTGTGGTTGGACTTTGGGGGAATTTCTGGACTTGTGTTTCTATTCGGTCTCTCCAGGGCGATGGCAAAAGTTGGAAATGCGGAACTGTTGCGCCAATCTCTTGCATGCATCCACAACCTCCTAGACAAACTCACAAAAGCCGGCTATGGGGTTTCTGTCATTTTCGTTCTTGCTGAAATTTCGCCATATCCGGTTGATCTCGCCCTCTGTTCCAGATCTTATGACTATTCGCCACCCTTGTACTCCGTACGTCTTTTACAGAACTGATCGGCGTTTCCCACTTGAGTGTGGTAAGTTCATAGTTCATCTCTGCCGTGAGGTACTGAATTTGACAAGAACAATGTTAGGGAAAGTTGGCACATCCCTGTCTGATGCCAATAATCGAAATTTCCGCGCAAATTATGACTCATGGGGAAATGCGATCAAATTCACTTCAGTGACAGAGATTGAAAGTCGGCTGGCAATCTACTGTAGACCTCTGCCGCATATCTGTGGCAAAGCTGTTGTATGATATGATTTTCCCAGGAAGAAAGGCCACGAGGGCCTAGGATTCGGATGAACACTTTTGAACTAATTGCCAGCACTCTTCCTGTTTGGAACAAACTATGCACCGCTTACAGCCCTCTGTTCTAGCTAGAATGTCAGTTAAGAAGATATCCACCATGGTCTTTGAACGTCAGTATTAAACGGTGGGCCGGGATAAAAATTCAATGAAAGATCAGCTTATTAGATGAGGATTGACCTAGAGCCACTCTAGATAAGCTCCAGTTGGTTCTATTGAAGAGAATTTTACCCTGCAGAGATTGAATTTGAAAAAGCAAGTTCGATGGACCAGTTGCAAGACTCTGCAGTTGAAAATGGTGGAATCCATCCACGCAGGATTTAATTCTCATAGAACACCAAACCACGCCCTAATATTACCCAATATAATTTGGTCCGTCAATACTCCCATTTGTAGAGATGAGAACTGAAAACATTCAACCATCTATAACCGCAACCATCGGGTTGGGGGATGCCCCCGCTTATCGACGCGGAACAAACAACCTCCTTCTCCAATCCCCGCGAACTCCGTGCACTTACATAGGGTAATCTCAGCAACCCTCAATGATACAACCTGTCTACGCGATTGATCGGAAGATATCGAAGTATACAAATAGTGCTCTCGGCCCCTTGCGTCTCCAGCCAAACTGTCCGCACCAGCGCTACACTCACCATGTAACTCCCATCGGCTCCAGGAATCCCACAGCAACTAATATGGCTTCCAATACTAGGGGCCTCTTCTCCCTGATTATTATCAACAAAGCTGGTGGTCTTATCTACCAGCGCGAATTCCAGGCTGGCCTGCGCAACCTCTCGACAAATGACTACCTCGTCCTCGCCGGCACTTTTCACGGGTAAGCGGCCAAGACCACTTCCCTCCTGGAATACCCATTTGACTTGAATTCGACAGTGTTCATGCAATTACACGCTCGATCACGCCGAAAATCCCCATCTCCCAACCAGCTCCCTCCCCCGCTATCTCTTCAACGGGCACGGCGACTCCCGCGACGTCCGGTTACTCCTACCCAAACCCCGGTGTACCAGTCTCCGGCCTGGATTACCTCGAGACGGACAAGTTTCGATTGACCTGTTTCCAGACCCTGACGGGCACAAAATTCTTGTTATTCACGGATCCCTTGACCGGCAGCGTGGACACAATCATCCAGAAAATCTACGAGCTCTATGCGGACTATGTGATGAAGAATCCATTTTATCAGATTGAGATGCCGGTGCGATGCGAAGCATTCGATCGGCATCTAGGGGCGTGGTTGAGGGGAAGAGCCTAACTTTGACCAGCAATGGGACCACGCAGAAAGGGGAGAGACATCATGACTTTACGAACTAGATACGTTTTGTTACTGTACTTGTATCCGGATCTCATTCCATCTCGTATAATACCGAATCACATATTAGATTATCTTTGCACACCGTAGAATGTACCCAAAGGTCAACTCGAGGGAATACAAAGAGAACAACAGAAGCAAACGCCGGGTATGCATCACAGTCATATTCAAAAGATCCGGCCCTTACGCGGTGTCCATCTTGTCCTCGTCCTTCTTATCTTTGTCACCGCTGGACTCGCCACGGCCCTCCTCGGGAATCTTGCCCAGTTGCGTCTTGCCTTCCTGCTCTTCCCGATCGCGCCTCTCCTTCTCCTGTCGGTTTTTCTCGTCCTCCATCGATAAACGCAGGGCGAATGCCAGCTCGGGGTCGTTCTCTGCGGCATCATCAAATCCGAATCCACCAGCCTCGCCTTCGCCGCCGGCACCACCGACCTCAGCATCCTCACCAGCCAGGATCGGGGTCAGCTGCAACTGATCACTGAGAAGATGGGGTCCTGGTGGGATGATGGCGAGGTGGGAACCATCGCCACTCTTGACATTCTCAACGAAAGCCTCGAGCTTCTTGGTCTGGTCCGATTCCAAATCTCCGAAAGCTATCACATCGATCGACACGTTGTTCTTCTTCATCTTCTTGGCGAGCTTCACGAGGGTCTTTTCATCTTCTTCGATGGGTGAGCAGGAGAATACAATAATGCGTTGACGCTGGGATTTTTCCATGCGGTGCTTGAGTGCCAACTTAAAGATCGCCAAAATTAGCTACTTGGCAGCCTGTGGCCTTGAAGATTGGAAGAACATACCGCTGCAACCTGGATGGTCGAGCTGAGATGAGATGTGCCGTGGATCTTTGTTTGGTGCAGACCAGCAAGGATTGCGCCAAACTCGGGTGTGAAGGTTGACAACACCTCGGGGCCTTTGCCACCCATGCTCATAAGGCCGACAGCTGACTGGGCATTTGCACGCATCTTTACACTGTGGATGATGCTAACGGCATCGACTTGAGATTGCCACCGGGTGGTCCTGTAATTATCAGATGCCATTCACAAATGTTTATATAGTGTCATCGAATGTGCTCACGTGTAGTCTCCATTGCGACTGCTTTCGCTGTTGTCAACACTGTAGCATGGAGTCAGCAGAGTAAGATACGATGGAGGATGGGCAATGGCGGACATGATCATAGTAGCTTCCAGTGTCATGGTTGCGGAGTCTAATGAAATCAACGATGTAAAGAAGAGCAGAACAGAGAGTGAATAGGAGTTCTGCTTATGGGAGATGAAGACGGATGACGAAGGCGAGGTGGAAGCTCTATATTCTGCCACCACTCTCCGTCGGTCACGCTGTTTGTTGTGCTCCTTCTTGCTCCACACCTTTAACTTAAGTCCTTGTACATCAACACATCCCAAGTCTATATCCCTTGATCTCTGCACAATGCCTGCTACTAAACGCAAGTCTGACGCCATGGACGTCACGCCTACGGGCAGTCCTACTAAGAAGATGCGTTTAACGCAGCACCAGAAGCAGGCGCTAATGGACAACCTTCAACTTGAGAGTGGGTTGAAACGTGGGTTTAAACCGTGAATACAGCACTAATTATGCTACAGTCACTGAGCGGGCGCGTAAGCTTCGTGCTCAATATGCCCTTCAGGCAAATGACCTCCGGGCGCGCATTGAGCGACGCGTCAATCGGATCCCAGTCTCGCTTCGCAATGCCAACATCGGCGAGCTTCTCGAAAAGCACAACGCTGCCACAAACAAACAGCAGATTGCATCAGCTTCTCGAAAATACTCGCCCATCAAGGTGTCGCGCAATATGGCAAGCATTTCCGTTGACCCAGGAACCTCTATCACACGCGAGGGGAGAGGTCGGAGGGGAAGGTACGATGTACCAGAAACCCAGTTTGTTTCTCAATTTGTTTCTCTTACTGACAGAATGTGTAGTCACGATGGCCACTTCTCCGACAAAGAGAATGCCCCTGCCGGTCGCGAGCCCGAACTCAAGAACCCCAAACGTCGCGTGCCAGCCGGACCAGGCGGGGCCTCGCGCGTTGCGTCCCAGGAAGTACGAGGCCACGAGAACCGCATTCTGTCTCCCAAGTCCAACAACTCCCGAACCTACCCCCACTCACCCTTCCGTGCATCCCCCGAAAAAGGTCAACCTTCATATCTGGCGCGCCCTACCTCACCATTAAAACCGTTCAGCCCATTGCGGTCACGCGGTGCCACCGTATCTGCGGTGAAGGATCAGCAGCCTCCTTCACAGGCCCAGAGGACGACTACCCGTGCCGCTACAGGGCCCAAGTCTATTCGGTCACCTTTGTCGCGCCCGGCGACTCGACAAGGCGAGCGCAAGAATAGCACAGGGTCCACTGCTTCATCGGGCACAACAGTAACCAAATCCACACGGACTGGGACTAGTGCGAGAAAGGCCACCACTGCATCTGTAGCTGCTGCCAAGAGGCCAGCTTCCCGCATGCAGGCGGCATCAATGGCTGTCAAGAATCCCCCCACTACTGCTGCAATGCGCAAAACTACCGCCCCGGCTGTGACTGAAACTGCGACTCGGACTCGAGCGCTGCGCAAGCGGATCTAGGACTATTTACATGAACATATAGATGCTTGTCTGCTTTGTTGGAGTTGGTTGGGTTTCTGTTTCTTTCAGCGTGGGTGATTGCAGACTCTGCAATGAACAATTTGAGTCTGGGGTCTGTCTTTTCCTGTTGATTTATCGGCGTCACATCATTATAGGTGTTTTTTTCTTCAGTCGGGTATACAATCATGGCTTATGTCCGGATCTCTGAATTAAGATTTGTTTTTTTTTTCAATTCAACACTCACCTCACCGTATAAAGATCATGACTCATCTCCATCGGCCTGTGTGCAACCCTCTGGAACAATATCCCCAAGCAAATATGAGACCCCTGTCACTCTGCTGCCAATCAATTGGAGCTGGAAGATGATGTTCGACGTGAGCTTACAATGGATGAAATGATTCGCCAACGCCCACACTCAAAATTTGCTACTTTTTACAGCTGTGTAGAGGAGAGTGGTCAGGCTACTGGCCTTTGCTTCAAAACGATACAAGGAACCCGTGTCAAGGAAGGTCAATTCTGAATGGCTGAACAAGGGTTAGTTTCCGCGCTAGTGGTCGTGAACATGTCGGCGGGTCTCTCAAAGTGAACTTCCATGGGATTCTGTAAGGATTCACGCACCTTCATTCTCTTGGGCCTTTGCATGATGATATCGATCCTTCCAGCATCATGCAGGATGGGCATAGTGTCTCGGTGATGATAAATTTTGGAAGTTGTAGGAAGAAAGGGGTATCGTTGGAGACCAACGCAGTTGGACAGACGGATGGCATGATCCAGAGAACAAGCATGTTTCGAGAAGAATGACCTAAATGCCTTTGAAGAGTTGAAGACTTGGCTGTCATGTTCTGTCATTGGTTGAGATTTGTTCCACCAGGATAGGCGGACTGGTACATTGAGCTCAAGACTTTCCTATGGGGTGTTTAATTATCCACTGCAAAACTTTGGAGCCTTCTAATTTTACACAGCTTTGACTGTATTGTATAAAAGACACAGACTAAAGTCGGGCGGATTGAAGGAGAGTTGAATTGTGGAGTTTCAGTGCGTAGAGAACTATATATATCGAGGATTCACAACTTCGGGAAGTCAAGGTGTTGGAACTTGGATCGCATTTTGAAGGAAAAACTGCGAAGTGATCGGATTGTCTAGAACTTGTCCATGACTTCGCCAGGTTCTACAATTTAACTATCTGTCTTAGGCAACTACACAGCACAGAAACCGTGACAATCGTATTGATTGAACAAATAAGAAGGAAATAAAAAGTTCCCAGGAACGAGTTAAGCAAAAGTCCTCGGGGAGAAGAATCAGAAAAGAAGAAAGGAAAAAGGGGTCTAGGTATAGCCGTAGCCTGGCCCACATAATAAAAGGAATGAGCATGCTCAGAAATCAAAAGCGATAGAGAAGGAAAGAAAAAAAAAACAAGGACATTTATGCCCAGAGGGACAGGGATGGGTATGGCTGATCCCTCGAATCAGATGCAAATGAACAAGAGGAAAAAACAGAGGCAAAAGCATCCCAGCCACTATAGAGATAGCGAGAAAACAAACAGAAACCAATCAATAGCGACCGAGCAGCTTGTTGATCACTTTTGGGGAATTTTCATGGAAGGAAAAGAAAGGGGTAACTCCGTCAACCAGCCCTATTACTCGATTAAAAAAAAGAAAAGAAAAAGAACGCTAAGAAGGTCCCAGGAAACAAGAAACGAAAACACTCCACAGAGATTGAATTAGACAGATGGATGCAAGTCGAGGTCGGATGATGATGTATCACAGCATTGTAGCTGTGTAAGAGTATAAGGAGATCCAGTCTAGCCGGTAACACCCATGGCACCTGCACTTGGACGCGGCCTATATGCCACATTTGATGATTGACCATCAGGTGCCCCTGCAATTGACTGGCTACCGTTGCTGGTGCTCCGGCCACGGAGGTACGCTGCTGGCGGAGGTGGAACGAAATCATGCCCAGCCTGGGGGTTGGTGCTTGTAGAATGAGAATGTCCGCCGGGCCCGGGCACATGGCGAACCGAAGTTTGCATCTGCCAGGCTGCATCCTGAGATGGATCGGTCTCGATACGCGCGGAAGCTGGGGTGCTGTTGTTTCGGTTGGGGGTGGTGATCGTGAATGTCTCGCCGCCATTCTCTGGTCTTTGTGAAAAGCTGCCTCGAGCAATGTCGCCATATCGCTTGAGGATTTCCTTGGTCGTAACTTCGGCATTCTCCCTGAAAAGAGTAGTATCACCCAAAACCGATTGCAGGTCTTCTGGAATCTGTCGATAGAGTTAGCATGAGTCTGGCGAAACTTATTCAACCTGGGCAACATGCCTCGCAGAAAACATCGTTGTACGTAATCAAGGCATTGACAGCCTCGATAGACAAGAAGCTCTCCTCCACTGTGCTGTTTTTGGCATTAGGGTAAAGTATATTGGGCGTGATGACGGTCGCAAGATTGTGAATGTCCATCTTACTCCCAGACTCTTCATCCACATGCGAGAAGGATGATGTCCAGTTTAAGAAGGCAAACAACACTTCCATCGTGTCACGATGGGCTTTGGGAAGCAGGCAGCATGTCAAGTGAAGTAGTCGCCTCTGTTTCTCCGCGTCGTCCATTTCTGCGATACAGGTTAATATAGCACGAGCAGACTGATGCCGTGGTGTCACGACTTACTTTGTGAGATGACAAATAGTCTGTGTAGCTTGAAAGTCAACAGCGGATCGGGCATCTCACGGAGGAACTTCTTCAAGAGAGCTGCGATCTGCACGGGTGTTTCCTTTGTCAGATCTACTTGTTCGTACTTGGTGTCTATTAGCTCCGCGGTGTCCTTCAATCGGCGGATGTTGCCGTTCTTTCGGAAGACACCCTCCACAGACATATCCATCTGTCGCATAGCGCAAACAGAGTCATCAACCAGTGTCGGAATGCGAAGCGCACCAGGGCCAACACCGTGACTTGACTCGGTGCCCTCCTTTTCGACCAAGTAGTCCAGACCAACACCGAAGACACCCTTCTTCTTACTACCCTTCTTGTTGTCTTTGAAGGCACGACCAAAGATATTCCATATGGTAGGTTTACGTGACTCAATGAGAGAAAGTAGCTCCTCCATGGTAAAATAGCCCTCTACCAAGGGTTCCATCTGTAGCACAGCCACGTGGCGAACGATGAAATATTCCAAAGCAGTCAGTTCTGAGAAGTAACGCTTGGTTCGTGTTGGCTCCATGAGAGCCTCCAAATTTCCACTCGACACTCCCCGTTGGTGGCCTTGATTGTACCTGGGAATCGGCTCTGTCCCCCCAATGAGCTTCGTACCAGCATGCCGGTAGGCATTAGGTCGCTGCTCCTTGGCTTGCTCAGCAGCAACAATGCGGGGGATATCATCTAGTGTCAAAGCGTCCTGATTTCCGAATGTCAGATCGGTTACGGTTTCGCCATTGGCATCCCGTTCTTCAACAATCTGGAAACCGTGGCCTCTCGCATCATTGCCATCATTGCCAGATGACCCTGGCCGGGCACTTCTGCCTTCTGGTCCATCAATGATTCTGGATGCGCGGGCCCGTTTGTATGTTGTGGATAGGGTTCGCTCGTTGCGAATGGAGCGCAGCCGACGCATCTCTCCGACGGTCTGCTCAAGGGATGTTTCCTCAAAGCCATCTCGCGAGGAACCGCCGTATGCCTGGGAAAGTGTGTTTGCCCGGCGAATCTGGGGTGTCACATGATAGCCGTCTTTGTTGTCATACTCCTTGAGGTTCGGGTCGTCTGGGGCGAAGCAAGTTAGACAAACTGCCGGCAGAATGGGGGTACGGGAAAAGTGTCCTACCTGATGTATGAGGCAAGGTCCCCCCGGATCGAAGCACGGCGAGAAGACGTGCGAGTGCCACTTTCAGCAAGAAAACGAATTGCTGCAATTTTGAGACTGGAGTGAAACCACCCTTCACAGCAGGGCCAAGTTGCATTTGGTGGGCGCAAGCGCCACAATAGACTTGTACCTCACTGTCGCTCCACAATGCGTCTTGGAGGTCAGCGGTCAAGTCCTTCTCACAGGATTTGCATGAAAGATGAGGCGGCTTGATGTGCCAACGGCTCTTTCCCAGCTGAACGCATTCATCGTCAATTGGTTCTTTGCAGGAAATGCAACAATCCGAAAGTTGATCGGCCAAACCCTCCACTCCAGCCATCAGGTCAACTGGTGTGTCGTCGTCTTCGCGCTCGGCTAATGACTCCAGATCACGGAGGTGCTCTAGGAAATTTTGCAAACCGTCTGATGCAGACTTCTCGCGTTCAAGTTTGAGTGCACCTTGTAAACCGATGCGGATAAGGAGCTTGAGGTAATGAGCGAGACCTGTCACCAGTGACAGAAGTTCCTGAGTGACGCCAAGTTTGCGTACTCCGGTTTCCTGGGTTTTCGATAGAAGGGCGAAGAAAGCCACAATCTTTTTGCAGAGAAGTTTGGCTTCTCGGCCATAAGAAAGTTCTGGTTTGGAATAGTCAGCGATGATTCCCGACGATATGGAATCAGCCGCGCGAGACTTACCTTTCAACTCGTGGGATTTGATATAATCCGCTAACTGATCGACTGCCCCGAAGAGGACCTCCACGTGTTCAATGAAGCGCTTGGCCACTATAACACCATCTATGTATGCGCCATTGCTTACATGAAGCAGCATATCTGAGATGCAAGCGGCGGAGGATTCTTCAAAGGTAGAGAGGGTATTCCAAATATTGAAGACCTTCTCTTCCATAATATCTTCTTCATCGCGAATGTGCTTGCGCTCGTCTTCGCTGGCATCCTCATCCATCGGCGGAGGCTCCCACGTTTGACCAGCAGGAGATAACCGGACATTCCAGAACTTGTGAATCATGTAACATTCTGGGTGCCAATGCTGATTTTGACCGTTGCGAAAGATCTCGACAAACTGTTTTAGGATTGCAGTGTGGCATCCGTGGCACCGTTGGGCAAATTGGGTTGAATAGTGAAAGTGGCAGTAGACCTTGCTCTCGTGCTCATAGTAAGAGTCCTGAGCGCCGAACACGGTCGGACAAACAGAACAGGTGAAGTGCTCAATATGATACTTCCGGTCCAATGCAGTAATGTATGATCCACGTAGTGCGCCGCCGCACTCATGGCAAAGGAGGTTGAGTCGTCTAAAGTAATCGGTTTCACAAAGTGGAAATTGACAGCTTGAATCTTCTGAATCGACAGGAAAAAACTTTGAAGCAACGATTTCGCCACAGTCCTGGGAGCAGGATATAAGTTAGAGACGACCCCCAGAATGCCAGCCAGAAGAAGCAACTTACTTCGCACTTGAAACACTCTAGATGAAAAGTACCACCTAATGCTCGAACAAACTGACCAGTAAGAGATTCACCGCACTTCTGACACAGACGCGATGAACCGGCAGGAGACTTATTTTGACGCCCGTTCACTCGTGAGCGATCTCGGGCTGCTGAGCGGTCGCGGAGGCCGGCCTGGTCAGGACCCAGGCCACGGCTCGAGCGCCCACCATCCTCCTGGTTTACCGGAGTTATAGGGCTTGGGCCCCCGGTTCGAGTGGATGGTGAATCGAACGGAATTAAACTGTCTTCGGGGGATGTAGGAGTGTTTTTCGTATGGCAAGCCCCGTAGCCAGAGGTATCGACGGTGGGGCGGCCGCTTGGGTTGCCTGCAACCAGGCTGGCTGGGAGTCCACCGGGGGGCATCTTGGTCCCCCGTCAGCAAAAAGAAAAGGTGAGGTTTGTTGAGATAAATTACGCCGAACGCTGCATGCAAAGAATCGAGGGTAAGGTCCGGGCGAGGTGACGTGATGAACGAGATTGACGGGAAGGGTTGAATCGAAGATGCAACGCAGTTACAGACCGGTGAGATATTGAAGGTAGGCTGGGCGCGTACGGTCGAGAGTCTAATTCTTAAATTAGAATCTCATGCCTTGCCTGGTTTAACCGGGGTCATTCTTGTTCCCTAGAGTGTACTCACTCTCATGTAAAGACACGTGGGGGTAACTAATGTAGTAGTGACGGAAATAGGGTATGCGCAAAATCACTGGAATCGAATTGAGGAGGTAAAGAGGAGGTTGATGTGAACGAAGGGTCTGAAAGCGCGCAGGCTAGAGGACGCGGGGGCCGGTTTCGAGGGGATTAGGAGCTTTCAAGGTGAGACCAACAGAGGGCGCGGATTATCGGGCAACAATCATCCCAAACTGAACCAACGGCTAATTCTAGGACCTCAGAACAAAATAGAAAAAAAGGTGCAAGGGCGAGGGGAAAAGAAGTGGGCTGGGGAGGAATGGAGATGGAGATGGCTTGGGTATTTGTTGCCCCCCCCCCTAATTAGTTCAGGACCCTGGGTCACGTGGTACATACAATTTCCATTTCGACTGGCGTCTTAGGGGATTATTGAGATATTTTCAATGTCATTCGAATACAGTTGACATTCGATTAGATTGATTTAGATTAGAGGACCTGGCAGATGTCAATTTTGTACTGTGAAGCATGTGCAGATAGACATAACTAGCTTATTTTTTTTTGCTCCGTACCGCTCACATGTGCCATCAGCGTGCTTTTTATAGAACATTCTATAAATTAGTTTCTGAATATTGAGATTAATTTGCTAGAAGAACTTGCGTCTTTTCCCCCTCTCTGTCATGTAAAAACAACTACCATCCTAAATAGCATCAAAGGTTGAATAAAAGGCGGGATCTTCAGTCCACTTTGATAGCTTCAGGATGTATACATCAAACTCAAGAACGTTCAACCAAGAGGATATGTCATAGACAGCTGCAGGTCTTCATATCTGTAGTATTCAATTATTATTCAAGGGCTCTTTTCTGTAAAATTCTCAAACTTTCCAGGGAGATCCATGGAATGACTCTCTCATCAGACTGATCATTACATCGTTCTAGGTTGATGTGATTGCCTAGTAGAAAGTAGGAGGCTGGACAGATGACGTGGGTACACAAAATCAACAAAGGGTACAAAACATGCTATGAACTTGATTTGAAAGAGGACAGAAAAGTCAACTCATAGAAAGAGAATCGAAAAGGTCAGGTAAAAGATCAAAAGAACAGAAGAAAAGAACAAAAAGAATAGACAAACAGCTGAAGAGGTGTCTTAAGTTGCCCCCGATTTCATCAGGCTCTGTCTTTACCTCTTCATCCATTTTTACGTACACCTGACTTTTGATCAACTTCAGATTTTCAAAAGCTCCTACTCTCTCCGTCCTCAAAACACGCGTGAGCACATCATCGGCTCAGTCCAGACGTTGCAAGATGGGTGACCAGTGTACACTGCGCCTCGTCCGAGTAAGCGCCTTTCAACTAGGATGCATTTGGAGAAACTACCTGGACCAATCACTAATCTCCGCGTTTTCGTATCAGGAGTTGAGACAGGTTGAGCGGAGTGAGCAACTTGGTATGTGATCTTCGAACTCAGGCTCTTTGACACTTTAAATTATTTTTTTACGGAAGCTTGCTGATCCCGGTATAGCCTTCACCGTTCGGTATGAAGAGGGCAACATTCGTGACATACAGGCCCTTATTATCGGACCTCCAGGTACTCCATACGAACTGGGGTTTTATGAGGTAAGATCCACCCAGCCACCGAGGCTGGCCCTAGTCCGCTTGAAGGATGGTTAACCAATCCTAATCGTCTGTCAGTTCTCGATCAAAATACCGTCAGGTACGATGGTCTTCTATTGGGTATTAGGCACTTGCTAAATCAGAGGGATATCAGACTACCCAGCAAATCCCCCGGTAGTGAAAATTCGGACTACCAACAGGGGCCGAACTCGCTTTGGACCTAATCTGTATGCCGATGGGAAGGTTTGCTTGTAAGTGCACCCTGAGGACTATTGACTGTCTGCATAATCCGACATTGATGTTTTCCAGGTCGATCTTGGGGTAAGCTTGTCTAACAACCTGGGTGACCATGGAGCCTCGCTGAACATCGCAACAGAACTTGGCATGGTTCTCGGAGTGAGCAATGGTCTCCTGCACAGGGACTCGAATCCGTTCTGCTGTCCATTCAGAGCCTCTTATCATCAAATCCGTATACGCTGGAACCGGGGTTTGATGACAACGAAAGGGCGAACGATACGGAGTATATGGAGATCTACAAGTCAAAGGTAGGGTTCGATCTTGCCAGAGTAAGCTTAGCATTGCTCACATTTTTACTAGATCCGCCATGAAAATCTACGACTAGCAGTCATCACGCCTCTCGAACAAGCCTTTCAAACCTCGTCCCCTCCCCACCAAATAGCGCTCAGGGTCGGTCAGGAATCCAGTGTGGAAGAAGATAGTGATGCCGAACTCGAACCCGAGCCGGGACTGCTTGCCCAAAGCAAGTTCCACGACTTTTGCAAGCGACGGTTCTTGTGGTACCTCGAGTTCTACCAGAACGCTATCGCGAAAGGAATCGCGGAAGAAGCGCACAGACAAGGAACGCCATTCATTCAAATGCCGTTTGAAGGCTATGGTAATACCATGGGTGGAGAGTGGAACTACATCGACCTCCAAGCCCGTTTGTTGGCTCTCCGAGACCGATTGATGGAAGAGACATACCGATGGCCCGTCGAGGGCCTTGCTCTGGTCAAGGAGGATGCCGGAATTGCGGTTAAATTAACGGGTCAGCATGAACAGATTGCAGCGGAAATGGACGCTTGTCCTCAAGTCATCGATCTGTCACTGGTTGATAATAACCCGTTCGTCTGGAGACTCACCTACGTTGGTCGCAACGAGTCCAGACTGGAAGGTGGCATAATCAAGATCAAGATTTATGTCAGTCCCCGGCACCCAGACGAACAACCTCGGGTCTTTGTCGAATCACCCCTGTACCACATTCGCGTCTCAAAGCAGGGTGTGTTGATGTATCTTCCATCGCATGCTGAAGAAATCGGACAACACATCGAGGGTATCATCACCACATTGGAGGACGACAGCCCCCCATACAACCCTCTCATGACAGTAAACCCAGAGGCAAGCGCTCTGTGCTGGGGCTCGGAACTAGATCGCAGGCTCTATAGACGCAAGCTTAGAGCTTCTCTGGAGGAGTCCTGAGGTTAGCTAGCTCACTGTTCCGGAATGCGCATTTTTACCGAGGAATGTGTCATTCAGCAACAGGCTACATGACAGCATTTGGCTATCATTATCAATTCTACCTCACTTGAACTGTATCGTTTTTCTGCCGTTACGATATCCTACCACGCTTCGGTGATATCCTTTCAGATGGAGGAGAGACCGAGGAGTGTGGAGTGTGGCGTGTGGCGTGTGGCCTGAAGCGGCATTTAGCACTGGAAAATCGATCTTAATATCAAACAGCATTCCTAGATACACAAAAAGGATGTTTGTGACCTCTTGTGAAAATTAAAGCAGTTCCTCCGTACTAAGTATGTGCATCACGCGGATGAGACAATTGTAGAAGACATCACGAGGCACTCCGTAGCTAGGTCGAAATAAGCGAATAAGATGAACAGGTTGTCATCTTTTGACTATGACCATTTGCAAATTTCAAGTGTTCCAGTACAACTGAGGAATATTGGATACTCCTCACACAACATCATGAAAGGACTTGAATTTCCATGTTTAGCCAAATGACACGGGGGGATTGGGAACAGCCTTAGTAGGAACTTCGTTCACTGCATGATAGCAATCATGAATCATAAAGCACCCATAGCTGACGCAAGGCCTCAGGCGGAACATGAATCGAAGGATCATGGCGCCACAGGTCAATCCAATGATCGCAAATTCTCTGGATTCGTCGGCGTTGCGGGCGATGCTTCAGCCTCCACCACTTTGAAAGAACACGCACATCTGCCCAAATTTTTTAAGATTTCTATCGTGCCAGTTTCAAGTGTTACAAGCCCATTCAGCATTTGGAATTTATCCCAGGACACTGAGCAGTGATCTTTGAAGACACCTTTCCAACGACGAATTTTCTTACGGTCCTCTCCCCTCTCGGCGATCACCTTGAGATTAGCCAAGATTTTTCCACTTGGACTCAGATATCTTTGTGTCTGAGTGAAAATGCCGGCGTGATCTGACCTGACGTTCGAGACTTTGAAGCGGCTGTGTCGCAAAAATCGGGAGCCTGTTTCCAAGCCATCAACCCTGAAATCGTATTTGTCAAGCTGTACTGTCAGGCTACCTAACTGTTTCTTGAGGAGCAGGATTGAAGCATCCTCGGCGGAAACTGTTTCGGGGACCCTTCGGGAAGCGACAGGGGCGGCACCAATGCTTGGTGCATCATTCCATGTGAACTGTTGATACCAAGGGTGCTCCGTGTTGAAGGGGTCATGATGACATATCAGAGCCAGCGAGATTCTGATGAGTGTGAATAGAAGTGAAAGCTAGTGCAATGGAAAAGGTCAAGGTCAAGGGATTCCCAAGGTTGATAAGAGTCGGACGTTCTTTCCTTGGATAGTCATCCTAACATCTCTCAGATCACTCCCAGGATTGGAAGTTATCACTGAAGCAGTGTTTGATACTGTTCCATACTGTTTTATTTCGAATTTACCGAGGAAGTCTGAAAGATTTTGGCCGAACACGTGCTATGATTCAAGTGGAAATTGGTGGATAGTGTGAGGATGATTCAAAGGGTATCTGATATTTAGTCAAACAAATCTCGGGCATGAGGCTCAACGGAGAAACCGGCAATGAGTGATTTGGAGAATTCGAATGGATATTCAAGAATTTTTCTTTGACCTTTGTCGTTCGGCCGTTGGTTTGGCCGATGAAAAATAGAAGGCAAAGTGACCTTCCATTGGAGAAAAGTCCTGCCCACTCCAAGACAAAAGACAATTTGCTCAGCTAAAGATGGAGTGTAAAAGTAGAAAACGCAGAAGAGTGGCAAGTTGAGGTCGAGCTTATAGCCCGCACGGATCACCTGATCATCGCCGCCAAATTCCTCGGCCCCTTTTCGCTCAATTCCTATCCTCCATCTCCTTACAAAGGAATTACATTATGTCGGCAAAAAGGCGCACACTAGAGCTGGGCAATGTCCTGGTGGTCGGAGGCTGTGGCTTCCTGGGGTGGCACATTGTCGATCACCTGCTGAATTTCCCCTCCGAGACTGACCCCAGTTACGCTCTACCGAAGCCTGTCGGCGATGCGCGCTTCGAGTATCCGACTTTGAGATCACGCTACCCGGATTACCAATCGACTGTCTCTGTTGTTGACTTGCGCACTACCAACAACCGTCTTCCCGGTGCTAAGTACTATGATGGCGATATCACCTCCGTCGAGTCCATGTTGGACGTTTTTCGAGCTGTCAAGCCTGATCTTGTGATTCACACTGCGTCGCCATCTATGATTGAGGGTAACAAGCCCCTGCTGCACAAGGTCAATGTGGAGGGAACACGGACGCTCCTCGAGGTCGCCGGTGGGGAGCACGGTGACTGGGGTGGTAAGTGCAAGGCGTTCGTCTACACTAGCTCCAGCTCCGTAGTCCACGACACACAGAGTGATCTGAAGAACGTCAATGAGGAATGGCCCTACATCCGTGGTCCTGCACAGAAGGAGTACTACTCCGAGACTAAGGTGAGTCTTAGTTGGAATCTCAAGCGGAGTTTTAATTGGGATCAATCATTAACCAGACCCCCTGCATCTATCAAGGCCGACGCCGAAGAAATCGTCCTGATGTACAACAAGAAGTCCCCCAACCAAATGCTGACAGCCGCTATCCGTCCGGCTGGAATTCACGGAGAGAAGGATACAACAGTCACACACAAGATCCTAGAGCACGGATCCCAAGCTTCAGATAGAGTGTTGAGGATGCAGCTTGGTGATAACGACAATCTGTTCGATTTCACCTACGTCGGCAACGTGGCTTACGGTCACCTGCTTGCTGCACACCGGCTTCTCGCGAGCTATGACCTACATGCGGCTGGTAAGGGCGGGCCCCTCGACTACGAGCGTGTGGACGGTGAAGCTTTCAATATCACCAATGATTCCCCCGTCTATTTCTGGGATGTCACCCGTGCTATGTGGGCTTTGATCAACCGCGTCGTTGAGCCGGAACAGGTTTGGGCTCTGCCCGAGGGTCTCCTTGAGACTGTCGGTGGTCTAGCCGAGACTGTCATGGGATTGTTTGGCAAGACTCCGCGTCTCACTGCCCGGACAGTGCGATACTCATGTATGACTCGCTACTACTCGACTGAGAAGGCCAAGCACCGCCTGGCTTACTTGCCTGTTGTGCCCTTGGATGAGGGAATTGCTCGTGCCGTTGGATACATTGTTGCCCAGCATCAAGCGGTCACTGGAAAGAAAGCATTATAGTTTAAAGCTAGATCATGAGATTCATGGATTCATGTATTAATATGACTTCCCCCCAAAGCCGGACAAATCTGGAAAAGTTTCGGAGCATTTTTGATAGACCCCGATAGCCTTGACTTTAGCTCTAGTCATGACAGTAAATCAAAGGATCAAACGGCCCCTAAATTGGACATGAAAAAGACTCTCCTTCTATGAGTATATATTTAACTTCTCACCAGTTACTTGCCTTCCTTGGCGTTCCTCCAACCTGCCTTCTACTGCGAAGTTTTATGCTCCTCTATACTGCGCCTTTTGATTGAGATCTCGAATTCAGTCGCACCTGCCCAATATGGATCCCTCTGGAATTGAGGCTTAAATCCCCAGAGCCCCGATTCAACCAAGTACTCTCCCGTCAGTATTCCCTACTTTACTTTGTGACTCTGCCCCTGTTGTCTCCTCTCAAACCGTCGAGTCTACTGTCATCATGCACCAGACGCCTCGACTGACCAAGGGTTGTCACAACCCCTTATACTTTGACGCGAACGAGACACCTGTTTTCTGGAAGAATTTGCTCTATTACGGAGCCCGAATGCCCGATTGACTCCTTGCTGTCTAAGTTACGTTGATCGGCAACGTCCTTTATCATCTACAAAAAGGACATGGCCTGAGCGCAAAAGAGTTGAAAGATCTTCTCCCCCGCAGTACCAGACCACAGGCAGACTAGAGCACCACTATTCGGGATCGAAATCTAAGTCGGGGTGGGGGGGGGGGGGGGGGGGGTAGGCCGTTCGATACGTGGAATGATACCCGGCAGCATCTCCGACATGTGCATGGAAAGACAAAAGCCGAAGAGGAAGAGCTTTAATCTCTTCTGGTTGATCAATGTCCGTTGAGTACCTTCAGATTGAGTGCCCTGGAGGAGAGGATCGTACGCCAAAGGGACGCAAGTGCATATAATCCACTCTCCTTTGATGAGTGCTCGGAAGATAAATGTGATCACTTTTTTGGTTTCCCTTTTGCTCAAATTTTGGTCATGTGCAAAGATGTCAATGATCAAAATTACACAAGCGGCAATGACAATACACTGAGAAGACTTCTGAAAAATTTTATCGTTGAATCGCTACAAAAGTAGACGTGGGCGTTCCATAAGTAGCATGATTTTAGCTATGTGAGTGCCTGCCCACCAATCCTACTGGCCCCAAAATTTACCATTTGTGGTCCTCTTCTGCTTCTGCCCGGACTTTGCATACATAACCACATTAGTGCCAGCAATTCCGTCGACACCAGGGGATTGCCGCTTCCGTCATTGGCACACTGAATCTACATGGGGATAGCCTTGGACCAAGGTTTGCATCCACCACCGAGGTGTAAATTGCCCGCTGCTCGGGTAGCCAAATCGAAGGGTATTGAGACGCACTGTTCTTTGGAGTTGCCATCATTATCCGTACCACTTAAACCTCAGATGACCACAGGAAATTGAGCTGACAGAGCAGGCCAAAGTTAGCGGTGTACATCTACCCAATGTAAAGCACTAAAAACTGGGCCGGTAAAGTATCGGCAGACCGAACGTGGGGGTACCGGGTAAATGCCGGGTTGAGCTTGGAGTGACAAATGCCTCAAAGTACAACAAAAAGGTCAAGAATCAATTTGTCAGGGTTTTTCTCGGATGACGTCCGCGAAACAGCATTTTTCTGTTTCCATATACTCCGTACGGAGTTCAAGGTCGTTATAGATTTCCCCACGTTCTGTTAGACTCAAATTAAAGTGGCATTGCGGGGGGATCTCGCTGCTTCGGTGAGAGAAAGTAGAAAAGGAAGAAGCCCAAAGAATGCGGAGAGGCGGGGAAGTCGGGGATTCACCCCGTACCGTGTTCCGAACTTGGATTCCGTGCGGAGATCGGCTTTTCTGGCTTTTCTGGTTTTTCTGGCATCTTTTGGTTGGCCGGTTTCTTCCGTCATCTTTTGTGGGGTTTCCGTGAAGTCCGAGAGTGAAATCCCTAACCCTGTGATCCCGGGACCCCTAAAAATGTTCCCGAGCCGAGACGACAGAGATTGAGATTACCTACAACACTCTATATCTTGTAGCTCTTGAGTCGCAATTATTATAGGAAGGACTTAGGAAGCTAAATTATTTTTCCGTATGCTCCTTAGGACTATTCATGCCTCCATCTCCGGTTTTTAACCGGGGATCGACGCCCAATGTCATGGACGTGGATGCCATTCGCCAAAGCTGAAATCCTTTCGGAACATTTCCTATAATTGGATGCCAAGTCAGCCAGCTCCACTATAACCCCCGCGTAGGATACACATGCGAGTTTAGGCGTGGGGGTACCGGGGAAGTCTATGAAAAAAACTAGCGGGGGGGGGGGGGGGGGGTGAGGGGGCCACGAGAAGGGGGGTTGTTTCCTCTTAAATGCAACAATCTGATCTTTTCTGGTCCACAGATTATTTCCATTTCTTCAGCCATCACATAAACACACAATGGCAGACGATATCTCACGAGAAAGCCGGGACCGGATTGAGGTCGAGGCCGAGAAGGAACGGATTGAAAATGTTGAACACAGTGCATCCCCACAGCAAGACGGCCTAAATCAGATGGATCCAGCTCGCCGGATTGTTGTTGAGAAGAAGCTCAAGCGCAAATTAGATGCCCGTTGCAGCCTTTTTGTGGCAATCTACAGTGAGTCCTCCTCGTCGCCGCCCAAACCTCCCTCAACCCCCACGGGCGACCTATACAAAACTTCACATCACTGATGACTAGTGAATTAAAGTTATGAACTACCTCGATAGAAATAATCTCGCAGCTGCTCGTCTCAAGGGTCTGCAGGAAGATCTCAAACTCAGCAATACCGACTACTCCACATGCCTGAGTATCCTCTATGTCGGCTACATCATCATGCAGGTACCTTCCAACATGTTTATCAACCGCATAAGCCGGCCCTCTCTCTACATATCCGTGGCCATGCTTTTGTGGGGTGTTGTTTCCACCTTGTCCGGCAGCACCAAGAAATTTGGTGATATGGTGGCTGTCCGTTTCCTGCTGGGTTTTGTCGAGGCGGCTTTCCTGCCCGGCGCCCTACTCATCCTCTCAAAGTGGTACACGCGCCGCGAATTAACTACCCGGAACGCCCTTTTGTTCTGTGGTAGTCTTATCTCCAATGCATTCTCTGCACTCGTTGGTGCCGGTGTCCTATCCAACATGGAAGGTGTCTTGGGCCACGCCGCCTGGCGCTGGCTCTTTTGGATCGAGGGCTCAGTGACAATGTTCCTCGCTCTTCTTGCTGCATTTATCTTGCCTGATTTACCGCACAATGCACGCGGATTCACCGAGGAAGAGCGCCAAGTTGCGCAACTTCGCATGCTCGAGGATGTCGGCGAGGCTGACACCGACAGTGAAGAGCTTGGTGCCTTTGGAGGGTTAAAAATGGCTCTCGTCGACCCCAAAATCTACGTTATGATGTTTACCTTCGTAGCTTACGTGGTTGGACTCAGTTTTAATGCTTTCTTTGTAAGTTTTGTCATGTCAAAAAACCTGTGGGGAACTTGTGCTGACGTGCTGCATAGCCTACCCTCACTGGTACTCTAGGGTTCGGATATGTCCCAACTCTACTGATGAGCGCCCCTCCCTGGGTTTTCTCCTGTATTTTCTCCGTTGTCAACGCCTGGCACGCGGACAAAACACAAGAAAAGGTCTGGCACATCATTGGCCCCATTGGAATGGGAGCTGTTGGTTTTATCATCTGCATGGCCACCAACAACGTCGCAGCTCGCTACGTCGCACTATTCCTACAGGCTGGGTCCTATGCTGGATTCATTGTATTCTACTCGTGGATCAGTTCTTCATTCCCCCGTCCTCCCGCTAAGCGAGCCGTCGCCATTGCCATGATTAACGCCTTCAGTCAGCTAGGCAACGTCGCTGGCTCTTACGTTTGGGATTTGAAGAATAATGGGTTCCGCTCTAGCTACGGAATCGTGCTGGCGATGTTCGGTGTCACAGTCGGTGGATGCTGGTATTTCCGCTCGATGCTGATGGGCTTAAACCAACAACTCGAGGAGAGTGAGCTTGCTCATGTTACTGGAACTGGGTCGACTGAGAATGATATCCTCGATAATCCAGACGAATCTCTGCGCATGCGCAAGGGCTTTAGATATCTGGTATAAGTGTTTCTTTGCACAAAACCAGGTCAATTGTACCCTAGAATGCTATAGCCGGCACTGGAAATTTGGTTCCTCAACATTTCAATTAGTTAACTACTTTCGATCCACTTATGTAATTACGTATCCTGCCATCTGTGTCTTGTTTTGGACAGTTTGAAGCCCCGGGAGCTCTCTCAATTTCCCTATCTCGTTCGCTTTTGGCAAAGATGGACGTCTACCTTCTACTGCTTGCACCTTTTGCACAGGTGTGCTAGATGCCAAGAACTATCATCCCGTTGGACACAAAACAGTGAAGCAGCTAGTAAGAGTAAGTTCTTCAACCTTAGGCACCTCTCTCGGTGTGCCAATCAGCCGGGCCATCCACTGCGCAGTTGGATTTCCCTTAAACAGCTGGTGATGATCCTCGGCTGGTCAGTCTTCCAGAAGGGTCTCGTATTCCTGGCAACCCCTGGATTGTATCTGAGCAATGGGCTCTCTGTCATCTTGTCTGGGCTGCAAAGATCAGAGATTTTGGGTGATAGCGTGATTGTACGCGCTGGTAAACTCATTGTAGGTGGGTAGGCACGTCACGCTATCGGTCTTGCTTTGCTGTCTCGGTCGAAGATGAAAACCTTCGTATCCCAGTCGAATGCTTCCTTGGACCTGCTCACAGTTTGGCACCGGATTTCTTCTAATTCCCACCTTCTGTACTGGGACGGGAGTTGTGTGCGCGCCTCTCCTCTCTCTTTGTTCAACAGAGATCCTTCCATGCTTTTGTGCTGTTACTACAAGCAGAACGTTGACCTTTCCATATGATTGGGTCAGACAAAACTTCACATCGATCTGCCAGTTTGTATGGAGATTACTCTAAATGTACATGTTTGCTAGATTTTACCTTCACTCGAGACATAGTGGCAATACTTGTCAAGTCGAGAACCGGAAAGATGGGATTTTAATCTCTAATTCGATTTGATTCTCGATTGTAGTTCTATCGGTCTTCGCGATCCAAACTGCGGTACTGGTTATTAGGATCCTGCTCCTCTTCTTCCGCCGATGGGATTGTCTTCTTCACGCGGCAAGGAGTGCCAACGGCGACAGAGAACGGCGGGATATCCTTGGTAACAACGGATCCGGCTCCAATGGTTGATCCCTGGCCGATTCGCACACCGGGAAGAATAGTCACATTACTTCCAATCCAACAGTCGTCTTCGATAAAGATCGGATGACCAAATTCAACGAATTTGCGGCGAGAAAGAATGCTGGTATCATGACCAGCGGTGATGATACCAACCCCAGTGCCGATCTGTACACGGTCGCCGATGACAACTAGGCTCGTGTCTAGTATAGTAACGCTGAGAGTTGTTGGTAAGTTTCGATGAGACACGTGGAGAGAAGGCTGACTCACTTCCAGTTGAAGAAGCAATCCTTTCCGATGATAGTATTGCACCCGTAGTCTGGCAAAAATGGCGGCTCGATAAACGTTCCATCTCCAACTCTACCAACGAGTTTCCGCAATAACTCTAGGCGCTTCTCGCCAATCTTGTCGTATGTCACGGTCCTGGTATCCAGATTGTTGAAGTCTGCGGCACGTCCCCGACATAGATGCCGCGCCTCTAGCAGTTTCGGAATGTTCGGGTTGTACCTGAACAGATAAAGATCAATCCGGTTTTTGATACGGCTGCAAGTATATTGTGAATGATACATACATCATTCCAGATACCATGCGCTCATAGTCATCGCACAAGGGTACTCCTGCCAGTCCCCGAGCAAGCTCAATGATCTCAGGGCGTTTCTCAGTGGCTGCCATTTTGAACAAGAGATTGATTGGCAAGGAAACAGAGATCATAGACCTAGCACGAGATGCGCGGGGGCTCCGTCATCAAGCGGGGTGATATCCCGACAATTCGCCGAGGTGGATAACGCCAAGAACTGGCGGGCCTTCCTATTTGGGTTTAACATCCAATTCAGTCTATTACCGCCAAATTTACATATGCAAGTCTTGAATGTAAGCATTGTTACTTTTTGTACTATCTTGGTGATCTTTTCAAGTTCTAGAACGCAGATCATCTGAACTACATCACCAATTTTTTATACATCAAACTTTCGAATACGCCTCACAACCTCCTCCACATCCATCCAAATCCGCTGACGATTCCGCAAACCCTTGAGTTTGTCCCAATTGAGATGTATTTGTACAAGCACACGGCACCAGTCAGTGTTTTCATGATGTAGTTTCACCTGGTCCGGCATGATCACGGACAGGGGAAATCGGTACTCAGCAACTCTCTCGGCAGCTTGCTCTGTGAAAAAATCTTCACATAAGGCCTTGGCATAGGTATTCCGTGCTCTGATAATGGATTTGATCTCCTTTGTTGTTACACTTGTCCAGAGCGAAGGGCTGTGTATGCATTCGGATTCATCCCAGGCTTCCCACAACCAGGGCAGTTCTCTGCGGACTAGTCTGTACCACACACTGTTTGGGAGTTCAGTGAATGCCCTAGATGCAATGCATAGACTAGTGATGTCATTCGCTCTTAAATGATCGATGATCATGAGCCGAATTTCCGCAGGAAGGAAAGAAAAAAGGTCGACCTGGCTATTGTGGAATGGGATGGAGCGGCTCGTCGCTGACTGAGATGACTTAATCTCATCATACGAGTCATGCAAATCACATTTTCCTTCCTTCTTCGTCGCTTTGAGAAGGATTTCTGGTAGACCGGGAATATAAAGGGGATTGGCAACCAGATACTCGGTACCAGGTTGATGGGACCACCACTGCTCCTGTGAACTTTTGACCTCTTCGGCTCGAGGAAATGATTCAACGGCACCCCAGTCAAACTCTGCATTACGCCAGGCCATGAGGCCTGATGCATTGACGCACTGAAACTGGACTTTGGATTGTCGGCAGAAGATGTCAAAGCACCATGGATGGAACGGCATGGCTATGTCATCCGGTAGTGTCTCTTGCGCCTTGCAAGTGTCAACTTCAAACTGTCCCTCCGAGACCGCCCAAGAGCGCATTTTCAAGATAAACCTACCGCAAGGTTCACATTGTCCGCCTCTATATCTTCTATCCCATTTCGCGCGGGCCACACTGTTGGGATGCCCGTATCGCGCGAGGGCGTCCCATCACAAATTCCGGATAACGACCAATCCCCACTGACCTCCCAGGGCTCATGTAATTGGTCAGCTTGCCATTGTTCCATCGAAGAAGTTTTACGCATCAGGAACTGGGCGGTGCGACAGCCTCTCGCCTCTTCGGGTGAGATGGCATCAGTCGAATAGCCCGACATTGGGCTATCAAAGTATCCAACACGCAGTTCGGAATCTCCCCTTGTGGCGCTCCTCGGATTGAAAGTTTGCAATGCCCAATTATAATACATTTGGCGCTCGGGATCATCATTTGTATCAGTATTACCATCTTCGCTTTCTTCCTTCTCTCCGTCAAGGCTCATACAGTGGGTCGATTCGTAATCAGAGTCATATTCATATGGCTCAGGATCTTCCTTGTTTTGTTGAGAATTATATTCAGGATCTGGAGCCGCATCCTCACTATCGGTAGAACTAGTGGTGTCCGTCTCATTGCATTGGCCGTCTTGAGGGCCAGGCACGTCCAGTTCCCCAGATTTCAGGCGAAAGATGATGTTAAAGCTCACACCACAAAGGTGGCAGTAGAACTAATAAACTGTTAGATCCGTTTGAAAATTGCCAATGCGCAAAACCAAACCTCGGAATAGCCTACAAACCCCTGTCAGTCATGGACTCACAAGGATCGATTTGCAGCAGGTAACACAAGTGTTCACTTGCCCATTGGTTTTTCTAACTGATCAGCAATTTAGGGTTTCTTGCTATCCTCACAATCCCTAGTTTCGTTTCCTGTTAGTTCACAGAAGAATTGTAAAGAAAAAAAAATTGCAAATGGGCATCTGTGCAAAGTGGTCATTTTTCTCATGTCAGCGGCCCCGTTTTAGACTAGAGCGATCATGATATCTCTGATTGGTCAATCTCGGGCTGTCTGCCAAAACGGCGTGGTGTTAACACACTGTGCAACTCTTCTGGTTGATTTTTGGTGATTAGAATTCGTCACTATCGGATGTCCCATCTAGGGTAGTCTACGGACTTGTTATGTACATTCTTTTCGTCCACATCGAGCGTTTCGCGTCGGACCGCCTCGACATCAAATGCAGCCTTGCTGTGGAATGTCGTTTCCATCTCTTCAAGACTTTTGCCCTCTTGTCCCTTTGACAAAAAAAACAGACTTTAATTGTCATAATGATATCCAAGACTGCATAGAAAAGGAACACATAACTGCGCCGGGAATTCATCATGTAGCGCGTCACCAGGGAGAAAAGGAAGTTAAAAAGCCACTGTGTTGATACCGCGACCGAGGTTTTGAACTCCCGAATTTGGGTTGGGAAGATCTAAAATGAGAATCAGTGGTTGAACTTGTCGATAGATGAACAGAGTATCACTTACCTCAGAGGTATATGGCCACGGCAATGGGCCCCATGTGAATTGGTAGATCGAGTTAGTTAGGAAGATCATAGCCTCCATGCCAATGCCAGCCGGTGTGACTTTTCCATCAGGCGCTGGTGAAGGTTCCTTAACCACCATGACAATAATGAAGCACGCGGCCATCAACGGAACTGAAATCCAAAGGGTCGGCTTGCGTCCCCACATCTCAGAGAAGAATAAGATGTAGGTGCCAACAGTGATGAACGTCTTCGCACCAAAGAGCCCAGTGATGGGTAGGGATTGGCTAGTGTTGTTGCCCACTAGCAGTTTGAAGAATTGTGGGCCAAAACATCCGAAGAAATACGCTCGGAAGGCCCCGAGACTGGTTCCTGGTAATCCCATGCTATGCGAAGTAGTTCACACTACGAATACGCCATAGCACGCCACATTACCGAGCGTCCTTATCACTGAACAGAGGCAAGTCAAGATGCCACACAAGAACTTCCAAGTGGCGTTGGAATCCTAGAATTTGACTTAAAACATACCCCACGAGTGTTGTACGGAGCGGTAGATGCGATCTAAATAAATTGTGGGTCTCAAGGTGAGCTTCTCAATGTTTTTTCCCTTCATTTTTCATTTCTAAATCGCCAAGAGCCGGGCTTCTTTCGGCCTGTCGCTTCGGTCGCCTCGACCCGAATATGCATGTATGATGTGTGACTGTTATTAAATCCATGATCATCTAGGACACAGTTGCGTCGGACCAAAACGGTAAAAGAGGCCAACGAAAGAAACATTTCATAGGCCATAGCTTGAGACTCGAAAATCTTGCGCCATGCTGGTCATCTTCTGAAGTTGTTGAACTTGTCCTTTGGCGTATCATCTGCTTCAATATATCTCCGTCGGAATATCGCGAACAGTCCCGGGCTCCTCGAGTAGTGTCGAATGAGAAGTTGATCATGCCCCGGTGCCGAAAGCTTGATGAATAACATCGGGATCCTGCATTAAGTCTACCGACTCGCACTGTTCAAAATCTAGCCCAGTGCTGGAAATTCTGGCCCCGGTATGCCAAGAAAAAAAATATATATATTATCGCCGTTGATGGTGGCACCCCAGTGCAAGGATTCATAGCTCCTGGGAATTGTATTGTTGTCAAAAGAAGTCGGAAAAGTCCGAAGTTCTTTCCGATTAGCAATTCAATACTGTTTCTAACTTTGTGTTTCTGGGCCATCTTGTTTCTTATCCTGATAGATGGATTATTGTTGACTGTTGAGAAGAGGTAGGCAGTTGTAAAGTCCACCGGCTATCTACCCTGACACTTTTTCCGAGGGTTACCTATCTACAAAGTGCCTATAAGGTACAGCATTGAAAGTGACCTGTAGCCGTATTGGAAGGAAATACATATCTAACATTATCCTAGAATATTCGGCCGCGTTTGCGACCTTGTCATATCTTTTTGATTGTCCTTTCTTTTCACACATGACCCCCCTTATTTGCGTTATAGCTAGAGTGTAGACGATGAAAATGGCTTAACGTGTGCCAAACGACTTTTAACATATACAAGGTTCCATAGTGAACTTGCCTTGCATTTGAAGGGAAATTCCTATGGACAGTCTCCTTTCAAGGGACGATACGTCAGAGCATGCTTTACAACTTGGTTCGTGATGATGGAGCCCGTGGACAATCCCATTGAGTTTGTGTTTTGTTGACCTATTGGAGTCCTGGAACACTGTTGCCCCTCCAACTCGACTTAAGAACAAAGAGGCTCTCCTAGCAGATACCAAGGACAAAATCTCCCCTGACCGACATATTGCCAAGCTGACTGATGTGCTCCGCACACCTACCTCGCAAGCTTATTTAATACGGAACGCTTTTTCGACATGTACATAAATTTTTCATTTTGAGGCCAAATGGTGCCACTGGACATATTGCCATAGACTACAAGAAACAATCTTGAATAGACAGGGACGAGTTTTACAGGATCCTCTTCCTTTGAGATAGCTAAGACGGCTGAGAAGTTGAAACGTTGAATCATTCTCTCCACCTTTGAGCTCATTTCATCCTGATGTACTGACGTAGAAAAAGTCTATCAAATTTTGATTTTGTGCCGTGGCATATGTATGAGAGCTTGCTTTTCACGAGTAACGCGGCAGCTCCATCATTGTTTTAATCTCGGTTCATTGCAAGGGTCACTGATTTCCTCCACCCTTTCTTCTCGCCTGTCTTCATCTACTACCTCTTTCTCACCGAATCTTCACATCTTCCTCCCTTGACCTAACATTTCTACCGCATCATCATCATTAACCAAGGGAAAACAAAGAAAAGTCCCCTCACTTTCTAAATTTTGCCTTGGATCATGGGTGATATCAACTCAAATGACAGTAAGCCCCATGAACAGTTCCAAGGACCTACGAAAATGTTCTAAACGATGTAGATAATCTTCTGGGTGGTTTAGATTGCCAAATATCTCAGTTCTGCTAAAAGCAAGACTCTCCCCCCCACCCTTCTGTCGCTACATGTTTCAAGATCGTTTTAGTCTACGCTGTAGTTAATGCGCCCCCGGTTTCCTTACCGACCATATACCTTATTAGGGACATGTCAATAAACGATTGGAAAGAATGACTCTATTAAACAACCTGTGTAAGAGAACTTGGAGGACCTATCTTGCGTCACGACGTGCCCAGCAAAGAATTTCTTGTTTGACTTTGTGTATGGAACAAGAGCCTCTTTATTCCTTCATCAAGTTGGCATGGCATCGAAATTCTACAAATCTCTGGATTCTGAAAGGTGTCAAAGGGGCTCAGAAAGTTGTTAAAAACCTTCAAAGGAATGAGTGGGATCAACAGAGCGGTTGATGGTGGTCCCTACGCAGGTGATATATGGCAGCTCTTTCATCTGTGCGTCGCATTCCCTTCAAATGACAGTCGATCTTCTTTCACTTCATCTTTTTCTCGCCTGTCACGTTCGACTACAGCTGTCCTCTTACCATACACATCTCCTAATCTTTCTCTCTCTCTCTCTCTCAACTGAACGACTCTATCACTTTCTTCATTATCTTATCCATTACTGTAAAGACAAGTCCGTCTCACTGATTGGATAGGCTCACAATTATTTTTTATCGACCTTAGATAACTCCACTTCCAATATGCTTATCCTGGCTCCTCCTCCGGTTCCTCTTGGGGGGTTTCTCCCGATTGCTCCTTTGCGGCATCCCAACAAGTGTCTGCGCGAGCTTGGCGTCCCTTACGACCCGGAGCTTCCTATCAGCGCTGCTTTTGGATGGGTCAGTCTACAGCGAGGCTGGAAGCCAGGTTCCAAGACTTGGAAAAAGCACTGGAACTCATGCATGACCGCCGAATATGACCGCCTGATTGGCTACCGTGAAGCAAACCTGGCAACATGGCAGGAGCTATGTGCCAAAGTTAGCATCAAGGGTTCGCTGGTTTCTATCAACCAGTGCAAGAAGGTAAGGTCTTTTATCCTGGGCAATTTGGCATCACTCGCTTACTGGCATAGGCTCTTGTGCGTGTCCACGTCAACCTTGTTGATCTCCTTGATTGCTGGAACTCGGATCATACCCCTACTCAGTTTAAAAGCCAGAAAGCCCTTGCTATCTACACAGAGGCGAACAACAAGTTCTTTGGTCGTCACATCGCCAAACAGGACAAGGTCCTCCGAGTTCTTCTGCGGCACATTCTCTAATCGTGTACGATGATCTCTCTTTGAAATCATGGGTCCCTAGGGGTGCACTAGGTGCGCTAGTTACGGTTGGATACGAGGAAACCAACGATTTTGAGATTCACAGAGAGCGAGAGATAAATGAGATCAAAATTTTCAACCCAGTCCCTTTGTACTTGCCACTATAGTAGCTAGAGGTTATGAGTATCTCCCTAGGTCCTTGTCATGATCTCCATTAGATATTATCACACCTACCGCCACATCTTGAGTTCAGTGTCCCGTCCCAAGTTCTCTCCAAATGCTGCGGCCTTTTTTCCGGATCCTAAGTGAGTGAAGAAGAATATGTGCAAGGCCCTGAGACTGCAGACACGAGTAAGGCAGGCTGAGCCGGCTCCGTCGAAAGCACACGTTGTCCGTTTAATTTATCACTCTCAGTTCGCATTGTTCCATTTTACCGGCCTTATGCTCCTGGTTCTATTTTGACAGGTACTTCGGTTCTTTGGAGACCTACTCGAGGGTACTCAGCCCAATGGCTCGGGTCCCAGGATCTTGCTGTTGCGAGGCCGGTGCTGATGCTCAGACCACAACCCCGATCGGTGAAGGCGCTATGTGCCAGGTGCAGTTTTCCGTCATATTCAATACCCAATTTTCGGTCTCCGGCAGTGTCCTCTGTCGCCATCGCGCAGGAGCATCTCCCTGTGTCGGGTAATCAAACCAATGCAGAAATCTTAAATATTCTCAAAGACTCAGGGATATCAATTGATCACGCCGCTTTTCTCTGCAACTTGGTTATCCAAAAAAACAGCATAGCTGGTTTTAATGGTCGAATAAGGGCATGTGGCGTTGTTGATGCGAGCGCATTCAGGAATTCTCCACCGGGTCACCCCCAACCAGCAGTTTGTGGTTGTTGGAATTCCTGGCTAATTGTCTCCATTAAGCTCTCTAACATAGCCGAACCGACTCAACAAATACGGTTCTAAATTTGGCCTAGCGACCTAGGTTTCCCAAACTAAAACAAAAGCATTGAACGCAGAGAGGATATCAAACGCGGATAAATATGTGTGGTGGGGAACCATGCACTCATCTCATAAACTGTCTCTCAATTCACCCAAGTACCCAATCTCCAAAAAGTGCCAGACGGGTTCACGTTCCCGTCCGTAATTACCTCTCGTCATAGACAAGGTAGAGTTTCATGCTAGACAGGCATGGCCCCATAGGAAGCAGATCAGTGCAGGCTACATGGGAAGGGGAACGAGTAAAGCTTCCTCAAGGGGGGGTATCTACTGTTCACTCCAAGGTCAAGGTGAAATAGTGGTTTCCATCAAAGTCATTATGCAATTGAAGAGTCCCAATGAAGGCAGTAATGTAAGATCATCCCCAGAAACGATCATGTCAACCATCAGCTGACTACCCCGCAGATCCGAAAAGATGAGAAAAGGCGGAGCATGAATGTGGACCCCGAACATTCCGGGTCTATTCTTTGGATATTTTTGGATGTGTTCTACTGTAGCCATGTAAGGGGCCTCTATAGTAAACCTCGTAGGACTAATAGCCCGAATTGTTTTAAGATTATATACGTCAGATAACACAGTGAGATCTTTTTTTATTGGTGTTATGATAAAGCAATTAGCTATGTAAATGCTAGAAACAGGAAAAAATGGGTTAGGAAGAACAATGTAGCACAGAGCAAAGTCTACGCTGAAAAAGGTACGAAGGTCATATAAAGCATAAACTGCACTGAGGACTTTCCCATGTATAACCAGGGATTTGCGCTCAGAGGCGGGTGCGTATGGAATTGGAGTCATCTGGACTCTCCACTTGGGGTGATGTGCCATATTCCTGGCCCTCGACCAGGCCATCGCAGATGAGCCAGTAAGGGACTCTTAAGGTCAACGATTTCCTTTTTTTTTTACCAGGCTTCTGGGGAGCAAAGGTTCATCCGGTGCAACAAATGGTGTAAATATGAAACATTCCACACCTAATCGTATACGTTAATATAATATCACAATATGCAAGTGGTGTAAGTGGTGTAAGTGGTACAAGTGGTACAAGTGGAGAGGAATCTCAACTTGTCATTGTATGGGGAACTAAGAACTACATCCAGTGGCGTCCAATAAGGATGGAGGAACTGTTTGCTTTTTTGTTTTCGCTTTTGGCTTTTCCTAGTTTGCTGTTTTTGGGTAGAAATATGGCTGTCTGGCATGAAGGGATTTGGAAATAAACTTCCTACAGTATACGTTGGACATGGGTTGGATACTTGGAGACAAAAGTACTAGGTCCAGAATTGGTCCATGTCTATTTAAAAATTTGTATTTATAGACACCTGTGCGTTTCAACACCATTTTACTTAAATGTCATGACGTTGAGTTGCAAACATGGGATGTATACTAGCTAAGAGCTCTCTATAGGGTATATCCCCCGCAGAAGTGATCAAAATGGCCCAAAATCTCTATCCTAGATGCTACATTGTGTATCTAAGATTTTGAATGGGTTTAAATGTCATATAAAGAACAGGTGAACAGAAAGGGGGAAAAAGAGAGAGGTGGGAAGTACGTGGTGCAGGAAACGCACAGCTCACCAATCACCGCCCTTGACTCCTTCGATTTCCCCCCCCCCCTTCACGACTCTTCCTCTTGAAATATTCTCTCGTCACTTTTCGCTGGTACTCATTTCTGTGACCCTTAGGTCTCAATCTTGATCAAGTTTCGTTCATTGCTCGGGTCAGCCTCTCCTGGGGTTGACGTTGTCGATCCAGCGCGTCGCTGTCGCGCCACTCCCCGCAGAGACACGGCTTCCGTTATTATCCGTTCAACGTTTTGTGTTTCAGCCTGTGTGCTATCTCTACACCTCTGAATAAACAGTTTTAACAGATTGAGCACCTGCCACCACCCTGGAGCTCTTGAATTGATCTATTCCCGAGTCCTACGACTTCGCTATGGACAGTTGATGCTACGGATGAATCAATAACCTCGATAAAGGGCACCCCCGCTGCCCAGCAGACGGTTCTGCTTGGCTGGAACATTAATCTTGTTTTGATCAATATTACTCTGATCTATCACATCATCGCCTCCCTACCCCTTGAACTGCGAAACCCGCTCGGCGCCCTAGCGAGTCAGGATGGCCAACAATGATTCCCCCAAACCACAATTTCTTGCGCCTCCTGCCGTAACAGCGTTGCGGCAAGAGGCTCGGAATATCGACCCGAAGATGATTCGGACGTTAAGCGATAATATGCGGGAGGAACGCGAGGATCTGAAGGAAGCGGCTGAACAGACATTGAACATCATTGTGGATATGGACCTGGAGGGTTGCATCAAATGGGTCAGCCCATCGTGGAGGCAGGTTGTCGGCTCGTCGCCCGAGTCCGTTGAGGGCCATCTGATATCGGAGATTCTGTTGGGCAACAAGGATGTGTTCCGCGATGCAATCGAATCCATGAGGCAGGATGATTCACGGAGTCGTTTCATTCGCTTCGCCCTCCAGATGGGACCGGATTCTGTCCTCAAGTACGCGCCTGAACCACCCCCGGCGGCTACAGAGAATCAGGCCATCTGTGAAGTGACCGAGAAGTCCCAGGAGGAAGAGCAAACTCACAATGTGCTCAACATGGAGGGACAGGGAATCATGGTCTACGACCGGACCGACGATGAAGCTGGCCATGTACGTAGCCCACTATATTGTCATCCACCTTAGTTGATACCGCTGACAGCTTCTGATAACAGACCATGTGGATGTTACGACCGCTTACCGAGCCAAGAGAAGTGACAATCGATCTGCCGCCTCTGCTGGTGGAATCTTTGGGGGTTGGAGCAGAGGTGTTGGCGAATTATTTGACCGAATTGGCTGAGGCTGCAGCGACAGAACCCGATCCTTCCAAACATCCAGCCCCAAACCCCGTCCTCTGTCGCATCTGTGAACGCCAGATTACGCCATGGTGGTTCGAGAAACACTCAGATCTGTGTCTGCAGGAACATCGGGCTGAGATGGATGTTCAAATGGCACAGGAAAACCTGAATGAGCATCGGCATGTCATTGTCAAGGTCTTGGATGCTTTAGAGGCCCGTCAAGGCAGACCTTTCATCGGGAGCGATGGAAATCCAATGCCCTTCCCTCAAGCGGAGTACAAGGGATTGGCCATCGGCCCTTCGTCTGCCAGTTCTGCTCCATCGTCCGGTCCTATTTCAGACAGTAATTCAACGCCCGGCACACCACCTCGGTCGCGAGAACATTCTGCCTCTGGCGCTACCCCAAACCGGCCCCGCTCATTCACAGTGCGGAGACCACTAGCTCGCATCGTGGAACTTGTTCTTGACCTGTGCGACACTTCTCTGGAGATTAGTATGCCGATGATCAAGGAATCATCCCTGACAGACGCAGAGGATTTCCGGACTTTGTCACCACAATCTGAATCGCGGATCTCCCAAGTTCTTCAGTGGCAGTCCCCCAGCTCCAACACGTTGGAGCAGGAACAAGGTCTGGCCGCTCTGTCGGCGGACACCGAACAAGTTGCGAAGACAAAAGTCGACGCCGTTGTACGTCATCGGAAGATTGTCGAATACGCCGAACGAATTCGTATAGAATACTCAGTGCTAGTCGAGGAATGCATCGGGGCAGCACTGAGCAAAGCGGAGCGCATAGCTGCGGGTCAGCTCAGCGATTCATCGTGCTCATCCGATGAGGAAGTGGCGCCCGAGAGCACTGTCGACAGCACTATTGCTCTGGGCGATAGCAACAGTAACACCGGGGAAGAGCCCCTCTCACAAATCATGAGCCACGAATTGCATCAAAAGCCGTATCCAGCGGCACCCTCTCCATGGCGGCCGACATCTGCGCTGACTCTGTCAATGCGTAATTCACCAGATCGGTCATTGCTCTCACAATCCGAACGCAGACCATCCTCGGCCGCATTATCCACGGGTTCTAACAGCCCATTGGAATGTCCCACCCCTCGATCTCATAAAAGTGCTGCAGGACTTCTCGGCACATCACAACCTTCTCGACTGGGCCTTTCCCTAGCGGACATT